CTAACCTATTAATAATAATAATAATGAATCACATTTTTTATTAGAGCGCTTTTGCAGGTGCTCAAAGCGCTTTACAATGACACATTCCACATGTAAGAGTCATTACTGTGGACATTACCCACAGGAGCAAATCCGGGTGAAGTGTCTTGCCCAAGGACACAACAGCCTGACGCAGTGGCGGCCGAGGCGGGTTTCGAACTGGAGTTCACCAACGCCCCTTGATCTGATGATCAACGCTCTAACCCACTGCGCCAAAATCGCACTAAAACTAAGACATGTATGCACTTAGCATTGCTGCCAACCATTTCCAAAGCATACTTAAGAGCTTTGCATTGATTTCCTATAGTACCTTCCAGGCAGACTTTAATGTTATTTGATACAGGTGAAAAAGTATTGGCTGCAGTTTAGAGTGGCTAACAGGAGTGATAAGGCTGTTACAAGTTGGTCTGAAAAATCTGAGCAAAGGAGTATATTATTATTAGATGTGTTTCCTCTGGTCAGTTAAGGTAGCATTCACGTTAGGTTAGTTCTTCCTACTTCCTCCAAAGGTTGGGGAATTGTTTTTCTGGACTGCCACAGCAAACTGTAAAGTTATTGGTCGCAGCTAAAAAAACAAACAACATGCCATATTTGACACCCAGGCTTTGAGTTATTTTCCCACAATGGCTAGCATAATCTCTTGGTCTGGTTATTATAAGAAATCAATTCACATCTTCTTGGTTTGATTTTCAAAGCCCTGTCAATGCAGCCAGCTCTCGAATTAGGGATTGTGACAAGTCTGTAAACACAAGAGTTGTGGTCCATTTTCAAGTCTGTTTTAGTAGCACACTGAAAAGAGAACCAGGGCACAAGTTGCCAGCTGGAAGGTAAGATACCAGTCTCAGCATATGGTGGAGATAATGTGTGCAGTTTATACTCAAGGCAGAGGAGAGATAGTGTGCAAATCCAACTTTATAGTCCCTCTAATTTCCTTATATCAATATGTTGTGATGAAGTTCTGAGAGCATGTATGCTCATACTAGAAGTTGCAGACTCACTACATTCTGTCAGAGAGAGATTGTCAGCTGTGATGAGCTCAAATTTGAGTTTGAGGCTACCAGCAGGAATTGTTCCGGCTCACTTTTGATGTCTTCCTCTCAGTTTCAGACTCTCTCCGTCTCCATTTCCTCCAATCGTCCTCTGTCTGTAATCAGACCTGGATTTGCCTTGCCTCAGTGGCCTCATAGGGAGTACGGAGGGAGGGAGGGGGGAGCCATAGAGGGGGGAGGAAAGAGAAAAGATCATAATTGCGATGACATTTTCTTATTTCTAAAGTGTTACATCAATTGTAATGGTGCCAGCATAAATGAGATTCCTGAAGTAGGAAGTATCATCGGAAACAGGAGGGGTAATTTACTGTGCAGTAAAGTTCACTAAGGTATATTTAATTATACCTTTTTGATACTAATCAACAGAACAACATGTCAAGCATATCTCTGCAAAGTGTTCAAATGTATTATACAACACAAAATGCTTAATTTCACCTCCTTAAATTCAGTCAATGCCCTTTTGGCAGCAATGACATCCTTGAGCCACTCACACGTTCACTTGTCTTAAAGTCAGTGTTTGCCTTTATCCTCGGGGTCCTTGTCTTTCTGGAGAACAACCCCCCTCCCTAGTCACAGGCTTCTTGCAAACTACATCAGTTGTTTTTCTCCTCAGGATTCCCCTGAATGAATTTGTCCCTCTCCCCTCCGAAGTCGTGTGGATGCAGCTGCACAGCGTGATGCTGCCACCGCTGTGCTTCACGGTGGGGGGGCTGTGTTTATGATGATGTGCAGTGTAACATGGTATTTAGTCTAAGGGCCAAAATGCTCAGTTTCTCATCAGACTGTAATAACTTCTTCCAGCTGACTTCAGAGTCTCCCACATGGCTTCTGGCAAAACTGCAGCCGTGATGTCTACGGAGGTTTTTTAAAGATATTTGTCCTCTTCCTCTTCTCCTCCCCCCCATGAAGCTGTGACTCATGAAGCATCCAGACCACTGTGGTGTGCAGTCTTTGAAATATCAGGCCCTAAAACTTGGAATCTTTTTTAGAGTTGTCCTAGCTTCCGTACATATCTCCTTCTTGTACAACCACTCATTAATGATCCTAATGGATAGATTTAGCTGTACTACTTTACAATGGATGCTCACTGACATCCATCCCCTAATTGTCAGTTTTCACTGACTTGCCCCTCAATGTTCAACATTTATGTTTTTGTCATGACACTGCAAAAACTGTACTAGGTATTTTGAATGGACATATGCAGATACATTTGTAATTTATTCAGATTGCATTGTAGACGTTTATTTGCGTTGACCTGTGTCAAAAAAGACACTTTATTGATTTCATAGTGTGTCACAAAGAAACCATGAAAACGCACATATTTGTATATTATATTATGAAATCATTGTCTGTGTGAATAGCAGATCACAACAAACTCACACGCATAGACTTACAAACACACTTCTAATGCTACAATCTAAGTTGAATTAAAATGGTAATTCGTATAAATGCAAATTTGATAAAGTTGAGATTTTTGTGTGACGTGTGTGTATGTGTTTATGGGGTTGGTCCATGTGTAAAATGTGCAAATGCATCCCCAAAAAGGCTCCTTTGGCTGCACATCAGTGCTGATTGGCTCCCTGCGGTGTATCTTTGATTAGCTGGATAACAGGCGTCTGCAGCAGCTATAGAGAGTCTGAGAGGCTGCGTCGCTCCTTCCGCCTCCTCCTCTCTTCTTTAAAGACCACCGCTCTGTCTCTCCTTCCTCTCCTTTTCTACATCTGTCACTTGGCTTTCTTCTCCGCTGCTGCTGCCACGCTGGTTCCCCTAGTTTAACAAGCTGCCAGGGGACTCACAGGAGCGTACACCCAGAAATATTTCGGAGGGATCCAAACAAGGGATGATTCATCCCCAGATGGCTCCATTTCCATCTCTCCTTTTCAGACTTTTTGTGGGATGTTGGGAGCTGTGATGCATGTCTCCGCCTGTCATGTTCCTTCTCCTGCTCAGTACTGTATAGTCCTAATAGAGATAAGTCCTTCACAAGAAAGTCAAACGTATAAATAAGAGAATTCTATATACATGTTTCATACTGCAGACTTAAAAGATAGATAAAACACATATCATATTGACATGTTGTTTTAAAGTGATCAGTCACTCAGCTTCTTGGATTTTTCTTTTTTGCCTTTATTTGTTAATACTCTCCATTTCTACTTGTGGGAAACGGAGACAAGCTAATTGTTGTAGCATTTGAATGAAATTGAATAAATAGTTTGCTGTCATTATATTAACAATATGAGTACTCACTGTTTTTCATCCGTGCTGTCGACTTCAAAGATGATTTAAATAGAGCTATTTCGTTCCCTTCCGTTTATTTTAATGACAGAATTATGTTTTGTTCACATTCAATGGGCAACTAAATGCGATTGCACCAGTTAATTGAGAGGGATTGTTATTCCTGTGAAAAGTGGATATATATCATTGATAATTGGACGTGTGATGTCCAACTGTGTCATGGTGTGACTTGATGAAGGTTTGTGAGGCACGCTGCTAACCTTTACAACTAAAAAGATACATGTGGAAATAGATGCAGGGAAAAGGAAGGAGATTAAGTAGCCAATGTTGTTAGCATGAATGCTACTATATGTTGTGTTTGTATATCAACAGTGGAGCTAATGACTACATGTCTGTAAAATATGTGTTTCCTGATCCCAGACCCACAGGAAATCATCAAGACATTGCAGTTTGTTCCAAATATATCACAAAACATGTTGTGTGTTTTTGTTGGATGGGGCTAAGTTGTGCAAATGCGTTCTCTTGATCCACGCTGTGATTAAGCTGTGATTTACAGTAACTGCATTGCTAACCTTCTCCTGCTCAGTCAAGTCAAAGAGATAGTGTGAGGTACTAATCCATAGTCAGTCTCAAGGCTTGTATTGACTCATGTGTGCATAGCTACAGTGTAGTTATGGCAATGAAAATCTGAGTTTACAGGCTCCTCCAACAGAGCAACACAATCAAATAAGTAAATATAATAAAATAGAATAGAATAGAAACAGTGCAATAGTCTATATACAGTAATTGGAATATTGATGAGTTGCAAACAGATGAATGTTATGGATGTTCTTTTAGTTTATATATTATATATTTATATATTTTATTATATGTACAGCACTTTGGCTCGACCAAAAATCGTTTATAAATGTGCTATATAAATAAAACTTGATTTATTAGGTACTGTAGATGGAGGTCGGCAGAAAACAGACGACACAGAAAGCAAATGACTGCTTTGTACGGGGGCAGCAGCCTCACATATTTTAGCCAGCTCAAAAAGGCTAACAAAATCAATAGCAGTTCAAATGTACCGTATACTTATAATATGTTATACAGTTATACTCTGCCAAAAGACAGCTCACACTAACGGGGAACTGAGGCGTTTGTATCTCTGCTCAGCAAAGCCAACCGACTGCATTGACAGAAACAGTCATTCTACCTCGCAGCGAACAAGACTCTCTGTTCTACTGCTGGTTAGTTTGTGGGACCTTGGTGTGTCAAACACAAAAACAAACAACCTGAATATAAGCAGAGTAAAGGAAACAAAACAAAGCTAGTGAACAGGTGAAAAGTGGCTGGGGAGTTTGTGTTCACTGAGGAGGATTAGTGATAGGGAGCAGGTGTTCCAGCTGGAGAATGGAGCCAAACACCCACGGGATCACGAGTGGAAAGTAGGAATAACAGTCCCTGAAATGGCTAATGTAAAATATCAGAGGACAAACGGAGGAAGTGGACAGAGATGAGTCAGAGGAAACTGTGATGACCAATCTGGGTTCCCATTACAACCCACTCATACATTTAAACTCATTTTATTTACTACACTGCAAGATTATCAAAAAATTGACAGACAACGTGTCAATAATCTCACATGGTTTTATGACTTGCAGTGATTGACCCTGTGTTTGTTGTTGTCTGAAGGACTTCCTCACTGACTTGATGATGTCGGAGGTGGATCGCTGCGGGGAGAACGAGCACCTCATCTTCAGAGAGAACACACTCGCGACCAAGGCCATCGAGGAATACCTGAAACTGGTGGGACAGAAGTACCTGCAGGACGCCCTGGGTGAGTGGAGCAGTGATCCGGAAGAGATGGGAGGCAGAGGCTGTTATCTGCTGCTCCTCATCTAGAGTCAGAAATAGTTTTAAAAGTGGAAACAAGTTACTATGTGTTCGTAGTTTGGGGTTTCTTTTAGTATTAAGTATGTCAATGTGTATCTGCTTGACCTCTTAAGGCATTCATTCACTCAAGAGTTTTCATTTTAGTTTGTTTTGTCTGCTTTTAAAAGCTGCTGTTGGAATTCCAAACGAGTTACAGGATCAGCTTTGTATAAATAATTGAGTATTTTACCCCCACTTCTGCAGTGGTAGACAAGGTCAGATCAGGTGTGTTTGTCTGCAGTCGTAACAATAAGCACTCTGTATGCACTGTGTACTTTTCTCCCTCCCTCATTCAGAAATGTACACAGTGGCAGTTTAATCTTCAAACGGCACACATCCCTCCTGTCACCCCCTCCTCTGCTAATGTTAATGCTCAACGTGTGTGTTTATGTCGGTCTATGTGTGTGTCTTTTGAACGATAGACGCATCACAGGGTTTATTCAGAGAAATATGAAAGGCTGGTCAATTATGCATTAGTGTTTATGGTGGTAGTTGTTATTGTTTAATGAGTGGCTGAACTATTGAAACCACTGAGTCATCCCAAGGACACGCATGGAGTCATTGTAGCAGTTATGGTTTGTCTTTTATCCCATAACACAAAGGACATTGTTATATTTGCCACTATTTTTGTGAGGGTAACCTTGCTTGGCGGTAGGGCTGCACGATATATCGTGTCGTGACGATAATCGTGTTTTGCACATTTTCTTTTCTTTTTTAGGACGTGCGAGATTAAGTAGGCAAATGAACTCAAACACGTCATGTTACAATTATTTTGCTGCTTGCCACAAAAGGAAAACTTGCGCGGCTCTCAAGTCAGTGGTACTTGAGTGAGTGACATGCAGGCTCTGCATGCACAGCAAACCACCAATCACAATCACTCTTGATCAGATCACATCAGGATAACGGAGCTAGCTCAGCTTGTTGCTCTGATAACTTAAGATCCAGACGTCCGTGACTAAAATCCTTCATCCGGTTAACTATTGAAAAAAAATACCAATTGTATAGCATTAAAGTTCAAGAAAGGATGGTCTGCAGACAAAAAAAACTGTCTTTTCTTCAATTCCTGTATTTTTTCATATCGCAATATATCTCGCAGGGGAAGACAATATCGCAATGTCAGTTTTTTCCAATATCGTGTAGCCCTACTTGGCGTGCATGAATCGTCTAGCTCTTTTTGTTCGTTGTCACAGCAGGTCAAACTAAAATGATCTGTTTTAAAAAGTCATTTCCGTTTTTTTTTTGTTTATGGTTCAGCCTGCAAAAATCTCAAGGACAATGTAAAACTCTGTCCCCGTAGCTTAGCCATCATATTTCCCTCTGTCCTCGCTCAGCTCTGTAGGACTTTGCAGCACTTAAATTCACGAACATCAGCAAATGTTCAAATCAGTTGCCTGATCTAGAAAAGCTCAATACATTTCCTGTTTCCTGTGTGTTTGCTTTCAGGTGAGTTCATCAAGGCTCTGTATGAGTCAGATGAGAACTGTGAGGTGGATCCGTCCAGATGTTCCTCAGGCGACCTGCAGGAGCACCAGAGTAACCTGAAGATGTGCTGCGAGCTGGCCTTCTGCAAAATCATCAACTCATACTGGTGAGTACTGGAACACAGCATTAATAAACAGTGTCATACTTAAAATATCCACTCTTCCAAGTAATCATAGAAATACTTAATCCCAAAAATGATCATTTGTTTATCAAAAAGGTTGATTTCTATGCCTGCACAGTGAACAAATAAACAGAATATTCTTAATGTATTATAAGTACATGAGGCGCCTTGTTTAACAAAAGGCAAAACTCTATTCAAACCTTTGTTTCCAAACTTTTACAGAACTCTTTGACACAACTCATGTTCTTTCATTCATAAATAATGTCCTCCTTTTTTTAATCTTCATTATAATGTTGGCATGCGAGAAAAACTCAAGTGATGGATAATTGATAGATTAAAAGGGATTGGATTCAATTCTAATGAAAAGGAAACAACAGAAAGCCAAGGCGTTCTGAATAATGAGAACACAAGATGTATAGAAAGGGATTGCAATCAAATCAGTGACAGCTTCATTCTTGTTTGCATTCATCAAAGGAAAAAAGGCAGAGGGAAGGTGGCACATCAAATCAAATGCAAATAATATGCTAAAACAAAACTGTTCTGAATTATACATATCGCTTTAGATTACGTGTTGATATTCATAATTTTTTTTAAAGAATCATTCTCAGGATGTGCATGTGCTCTCCTCTGTGTCTATACTGCAGTCTCCTAGCATCTATTCTATAACAGCTTTATGAGATTTCTGCAGCTCTTTTAAATTCAAGAGCAATTGAAGTGAGACAAAACGTTATAAAATCATTTGTATTCTCACGTTGGGGAGCAGGAGTGAGAATGAACCACTCAATCACAGCTCCAGCCCATCTGTCCCTAAAGTATGGTTTGGGAATATAAAAAAGACCAAAAACATTTTCATGTGTACTTTATTTCACACCTTATTAATTATGTGCATGTGGCATGATGTTCATTCTCTGTTCCACCCTTAAAAAACGCTCCTTTTTTCCTCTACAGTGTATTTCCAAGGGAGCTGAAAGAGGTGTTTGCGTCGTGGCGTCAGGAGTGCAGCAACAGGGGTCGCCCGGACATCAGCGAGCGTCTCATCAGCGCCTCCTTGTTTCTGCGGTTCCTCTGTCCAGCTATCATGTCCCCCTCGCTGTTCAATCTGATGCAGGAGTATCCAGACGACCGCACAGCACGCACGCTCACACTCATCGCTAAAGTCACACAAAACCTGGCCAACTTCACCAAGTGAGTGTGGGGTATTTGGATAAAGAGAAACTATCCGTACCAATCTTATTAGCAGAGGACTTTGGAATTTGCTTAAAATAACTTTGTTTGCATTCTTCATTGTCCCCTTTCCTGTCCTTGTTCGCCTTCAGATTTGGCAACAAGGAAGAGTACATGTCCTTCATGAACCAGTTCCTGGAGCACGAGTGGACCAACATGCAGCGCTTCCTGCTGGAAATCTCAAACCCAGAGACCATCTCCAACACGGCGGGCTTCGAGGGGTACATCGACCTGGGCAGGGAGCTCTCCACCCTGCACTCCCTCCTCTCTGAGGTGGTGTTCCAGATGGACCAGGTACTGACTCGGCATCATCAGGAGTTTCTCTCACTCAGAATGTATTGTCAACATGTGTCACCTCCTCATTTGTCCATCGATTTGGACAAAAGTCTCTGCAAGAGGAGTGTAAACCTGGCCCCTCTTTATTGTGTTGACATTATTTTGCACTAATACGCACAATAATTAACTTTAAAACTTTAAGTTGGCGTCAATATGAACATGATGGAATAACTTTCAGTGCATTTAAATGTTGACAAGGTTACTGACGTAAAATCAGGCCCGCCCCTCCCTACAGGCAGATCACGCAGACTGCTGAGGGAGCATCATCATGAAGCGCAAATGCGGCGCACCTTTATGCGCTTATGCGGCGCAATTAGTGTAATCGCGCCACAGTTTCGCCCCCCGACGCTCGCGACACGAGGGCCTCATCACATAACTTTGCGTGGGGCCACAAGTTGGCCAGGGGCCCTGTGTTAAATTGAGACTTGCAGCAAGAGTGATGGTAGCTAAAGCCTTGTTTATAGGTAGAGTACCAGCAGGCACAGGGCTGCTGTTGTTCAGCGTGTTGTAGGATTCCTTATTCTCTGAAATCCCAGACGGCCAACAAATAAAATGTTATGTAAGGAAGCAAGAAGTCAAATCTCATATCAAAAACGTATAAATACACTTTTATTGCTTTATACAATCCCTGTAAAGAAAGGAGTCAAGTGTTTGAAATAGAAAATGTATTATCGGGAAAGGTTGAAAAGTCCTGTATGGATTTTAAAACAGTGTGAGACTTTAGAGAAGAAAGCCTGAGACATGTTAATAGTGAATATTACTTCATTATTTGATTCTTTTTTTCCCGAGAGCCGTTTGTTATAGCCATCAGCGTGCTGTGCTGAACACAGTATTCCACATGCTTTAAAAAACAATTCAAATTGTTATGCAATCGCTTCTCTCCAAAAGAAATTGGGATATATAAATATTCTAAATATTTCTTAAAGGATCGAAATCAGCTTTTGCGGAGGTCCAAAGGTCTTTAAATTATTATCATAAGCTTCGGGGTTTGAATCAGACTACATTAGGATGTTTATGGAATCGTATCAATCAATAATTCATTATTGCATTGCGTAAACAGTGAAGCCTGAGATGCTGGGTGAAGCTTATTAATGGATTTACAAGGACGTGTACATTAGCGCTGGTAGCAGATGGGAAGCTGGTAATAATTAGATAAAGGGCAGATTCTTTTTTTCAGTTTTTTTGTTAGAGCATCCTGCTCTCTTTCAATAATTCAGAAATCACAGCGTGTCTAGATAAGTCCATCAGGCTGACCGGCCTTATTCATTATTCAGTATGTTGTCTGAATAAGAGAGTTGAATGCATGGCAAATAGCAAAGTCTAAAAAATATGCAAATATCGTCTTCAGCTAAAAAGCTCAGCTATTACATCCAGTTAACGCACTGAAGAGCTCCAGAGTTATGTTTCCTTTGCCTTGCCTCCCTCTTCACAGAGCGTAGCCTCCAAGCTGGGTCCTCTGCCCAGGATCCTGCGGGAGGTCAACTCGGCTCTATCCAACCCGTCCTGCGTCCAGATGACCCCCGGACCCTCCTCAGAGCTCTCAGGCTCGCCCCCCCCTGAGGCCGGCTGCAGCATCTCCACCGGCCTGCAGAAGATGGTCATAGACAACGAGCTTTCAGGGTAAGACATATTAAACACCTCCTCTAGAACACACACACATATGTGTTCATTCATGCAGATTACACTGTTTTCTGAAAGATTAGAAGTTTCAAAGACTATTTTGTTTGGTTTTTATCTATTTGATAGAGTATATCTTCTGTTAAATCGAGCAGCACGTTAAAGGAAGCTAGCTAATGTTCCTGCAGCTGCTAGCATGGCTATTTAGCCATAGCTATGCAAAGCCTTAATATAGAACAATTAAAACATGTATACTATGCATTTCTGCTCCTTCTCTGCATATTTATATATTTAAGTCTTTGAGTGAAATAAATACAAATGACTCTTTGTACAAGCAGAACATATTCCTGAGAGCGCAGACATCAGTCAAGGCCCATGCTTCATCTCTCATTGTTGAGTGAAAATGTATTTGTTTATCCGCACTGTGATTCATATCCACTCCCAAATTGATTTGTTCTTCATTTGCCAATTTAACACTGTTACACCAAGTTTTATGAAAATCTAGCTAAAGCTTTTTTACATATTCCTGGAAAAAACAATACCTACTTTAGTAGATATCACAGCCTTTTAAGCCAATCAACAAAGTCTTTAAACAGTCCTTATATTAGGAAACAAACAAATAAAAACATTTGGTGCCAACAATATAAACTTGCAACCCTTGTAACAGCTCATCCGTTTGTATAAAGGTCAGTTACCAATACATCCAGGTGGGTATTACAAACACGGAGGAGCTTTTGCCTGTGAAGGAGATGCTGTTCTCAAAGCAGTTCTGCTGAGTGTTAATGTTTGTCAGCCGTTGCCGTGACACAGCGTGAGTGTCACCCCTGCTTGTTTACATCCGCCAGATGAAACCTCTTTACTCTCCTGCGGGTGAATACACTGACTGCACCTTATCTCCCTTATCTATGTCCTCTAACTCCCTGGCAGAACAATGGCAGGAGGCAAGGTGACACTTATAAAGATTAACATGAAGACACAGGGGCCCACAGATGTATGAGTAACAGCCAGCAGACACAACACCAGAGCACCAGCAGAGATCATACTGCACATAACAGGAAGAGGGTCATACAGCTGCTGTCATTATGGTAATCATAGGTCCACGATCAATAGAGATGTCCCTATAAGACCTGGTGTCAGAGTCTCTTTACTTTATCACAGTTACTGTTTGCTCATATATTGACTTTTGTGTGTCGGTGGTGTGGCGATATTCAAATGAGTTCACGATTCTCACATCATTGCTTCTCATTCAACAACCAGTGACACGCAAAGTAGGAGACAGTGCCAACATTGAGAGAGGGAAGAAATTGAGCAGAATGAAGAGGGGAAAAGCAGTTATGAGGGGAGGGTATATGGAACGGATGGGAGAAGGACATAGAAAGGAGGAGATGAGCGGGATGTGAATCATTGAGATTATTGGAAGATAAATCACGGCTGTCAAGGTAATCGTCTCTTCTGGCGATAAAGCCTCCATCTGCTGGCTGAAGGGAAGGAAGATGAAGGGACTGCAGGGGCCACACATTCTCAAAAACTAGCCTCAAGACTATTTTCCACTGCAGCTACTTTCACAATAGCTTAGCATTTTTGCTACATTTTCAAACTACTGTTGCTAGACAACCTTACTTATGACCAGTAGCTTATGGAGAGTGCTAATTAATGACCACATTACTGAGTCAGTTCAATGACTTTATGACTCTTCTCCACACGCTCTACTGTTACTGTGTGACGAGCAAAATGCTAAAATACTGTAGATTACACTAGCAGCAATGACACATTTTGGGCAAGGGGGCTAAAGTGGTTCAAGGATGCCTTTTAGGACATTCTGCAACCAAAACCATCACCAACACATCATTTAATGCATATTAATGTTTGTTTTGTTAGCACTACTGTGTACCACCCTTGGTGGTGATCTTTTTTTTATTGACTACACGCCTGAATTTCCCTGAAAATCTGGCACTGAGCATAAAGGTTATATTTGTTATATTTGCATTGTTTGCGACCCTAGCATGGTTACAATACGTTCACACACAAACACATACTGACATACTTAAACACATATTTTCAAGGTGAAAACAATACCACTGTCTTCTGTTTCTACTGAGATGGAAATATGCAATTACAGTGCATTCACAAACAGGAAATCACAAAATAAGGTTCACTTGTGGCTGAACTAAGTTGGCTGAGGTTTTAAAATGCACACCATATTAATTGTATGTTTTCGCTCTGTCTCCTTCAGATTGGTAGACTTCACCCGGTTACCCTCCCCCACCCCGGAGAATAAGGACCTGTTCTTTGTGACACGGAGCTCAGGGATCCAGCCCTCCCCAGCACGCAGCTCCAGCTACTCCGAGACCAATGAACCCGACCTGGGCATGGCCAACGGCAGCAAGAGCCTGTCCATGGTGGACCTCCAGGACCCCCGTAGTCTGGAGGGGGGCCCAGGTCCCAGCTCCTCGGAGGCCCTGAGTGAAGGTGTAAGCTCTTTGGGGGTGTGGTCAGCCAGAGTCCCACAAGGAATCATCCCGGGGGGTCCCACTCTGAGGAGGTCAGGCCAGACCCCCCCCACCCTGGCAACAGAGAGCACCCCCGGCCGACCCGCCCAGCTCCTAGCCCCCCTCTCCTTCCAGAACCCTGTGTACCAGATGGCGGCCTGCCTACCTGTGTCCCCCCGCGGGATGAACGACTCAGGGTCAGAGTGCCAAAGCTCTGTCAGTTCCCATAGCAACAACGAGGATGGGACGGCGGGAGGGAAGCACTCCTTCTTGAACCACGGTGGAGGAGGTGGAGGGGGGGGGGGGAGCAGCGGGGACGAGTACACCCGGCGCTCGGGGGAGTTTAACCGCCGACAGCTGTCCCTCACAGAGCAGCAGCACCAGCCCACCGTGCCCAGACAGAACAGTGCCGGCCCCCAGCGGAGGATAGACCAGCCCCCGCCTCAGAGCATCACTCGGGGCCGCACCCCCCCAAACCTCCTCACCAGTGGACCCTACCCACGGCCCTCCTCTGGAAACATGATGACCAACTCACCGGACTGGCCCGGCAGCGGGGCGCGGTTACGGCAGCAGTCCTCCTCCTCTAAAGGGGACAGTCCGGAGACCAAGCAGAGGGGGCCACACAAACAGGTACGCACTCACAGTGTAGCGTACACATAGTCTATCAATTGCCCACCCTGTGTTACCTTGTGTGAAAAAATCACTATTCATGTATAAAAAAAATAAAATGATCGATGAATTTAAGTAACTTAGGGAAAACTCAGCAAAACTAAACCAAATATCTGTCTTAAAAACACTCTTTCTGGGTTAGGGTTTCTATTGTTGATGTATGTGCAATACCATATTTACATGTACATGCCACATGCTGTAACAAAAAAAAATCCCAATTTAGGATCAATTCAATAAATCTGAACTCATAATCTTACCTCTTCCTAAACACAAATAATATTGATGATAAACTATACGCTTGTTCAGTTTGATTAAAAAGTCCCGTTCTGGTGAATTGCTTGGGAAGGGTTTGGGAAAAAGTGAGGTTAAAAGTGGATAAATAACACTTGGATTTTCCTGCACAATTCAGTTGTTAAACGCGGCCCCCAATAACTTATCAGGATTTTCTTCTATTTTGTATTATTTATTCACTGTGGATGCATGTGAGAAAAGTGTGTCAAGGTCACACAGGGTGTCTAACTAATACACAAATCATAATGTTGTGGTGGAAGTATTCTTCTGAATTCCAGTAAAATATTTAAAGATCATTATTCAAGACAGCCAACTAGAGCTGCCTCAGGCGCTATCATACCAGAGTACTTTTCCCGTACTTTTCACAGAAATAGTTCCGATAGTTCCTGGGATGTTGCGTTTTTCGGGAACCTTTTCACCCCTTTTTAGGGGCTTTCCTGGGGAGAAAATGTTCCAATTTCTGATTGGCTGGGCGAATTGCAAACCAAAAAAAAAAAAACTCCAAGCCGCCATTTTATTTCCTCGCATTATTAGCATTCGCCCAGCGCACCAACGGAGAGAGACTAACTTATGGCAACACAAAATAAAACATGGGATCGGTGTGATGAGGAGGTGTCGGCGCTTCTGGCGATTTACCCGGGGCTTCGGGTGGCGATTTACTGCCACCCAAAGTCCCGGACTCTGGGGGGCTCCGGGACTTCGGGTGGCAGTATACGCCGTGAAGTTGTTTGCGGCCTGCCAGTAAACCCAAAGCAGAAGAAGAAGAAGTGACGTCAGCGGCTTCATTTGCATAATCTTCCCTCAGGGACTTATTCTGGTGTGAACGCGATTTACTAGATAGTTCCGGGGAAATAAAAGTTCCGGGAACTATTCCTGGGAAAAGTACTTGGTGTGAAAGCGCCATATGTAATCACTTAAAAGTTCTTATTACAAAATGGCAATTGTATCTAATGTTAAAAAAGGCTGTGTGGGTGGGCTCGGCACAGGCACCCTAATTAGGTTTAGTCTTGTGTGTGTCCTCACAGTGGGGGGCTTTACATTGTTTGATGCATTCACCCGAAAGTCTATGTTCAATATTGTCAGGTCAGGACTATCAGCTGTAATTAAAACACTGGTCAATAGTTGCCCTTGGATAATGGCTCAAGGGAAGGGCATATTAACCATAATGCTTTGCTCTCGTCTCTGTGGGATAGTCTACAGTATTGACTTATTTACTGATCGCACCAAACCCTAATTAAATGTGCATGTGAGGGGAACTCATTTATGATGTATTTGTCGAAGCAGCAAAGGACCTTAAAGCCACTATGTGAGGATGTTTATGTTTTTTTAAAAAAGATTTGGATTGTAATGCTGGTTGCTCCATTGCTTTGGTCCAGAATGACATTTCTCCACAGCTTTGGGATGGATCGCCATATAATTGTACACGTTAATGATCCCCAGAGCTTTGTGATCAAGTGACCTTTTGCACCACTAAATCTTAAATTGTCTAGTAAAATATCTTGACATAGATTTTACATTTTCTAAAGACCTTCATGGCTCCCAGATCAGAACTCAGAATCAGAATCAGAAACAGGTTTATTGCCAGGTAGGTTCGCACATACTAGGAATTTGACTAGATGTCATGGTGCATGATTTTGGTGACCCTCTGACTTTTCCTTCTGTTCGATGATTGTGGTTTTTAGAGAAATATCTCTCACTGACTTATTGTACATACACTTTTATTTCCCTCAGGATGATCTGTAATTACTTTGGTGTTCTAACGATAGCATTGGGTTCATTTTTTGAATATGTATTTATCATAATTTTTTGAATATAACTATTTTTGATCCTACCACAGTAGAAATTCAGAAATATTTGAGTTCTGCATACTGGCTTTAAGTTGACTTTCCTACCCATTGAACCTACATGTGCTACATCTAAAAGATTCAACGTTAAGTATGTGTCTAGAAAACAGTAACATTTTGATTCCAAATGAATTTAAATTCATATCTTGACTTTTCCCTACAGGTCTCGATTCAATAATTAGTCAGAATGAGTGTAATTGTAACAACAATTATAATTCGTTTTAATCTGTAGGAGTACAAGTTGTATTTAACATTTCCAAAAAAAAAAGACTAGCCAATGAGGAAACGGCACCCACATTTTATTTTTTTATTACATATTGTCCGTTTGCAAATATTCGATTTTCAGCCTTTTAAAAAGCCCTCAATGCAAATGAGTGGGCTGAACTGTAAAAACATCCTACTTCTGCTCTCGTGTTCTGCAACAGCCCACAGCTTTTCTTCTCATCTGTATATCAGACAACTGGCAGATGGAAACACACACACACACAGACACGCACACACACACACACACACACACACACCTTAACTGCTAGTATCTGCCTCCAGGCTGATTTCCATTTCTCTAATTTAATCTTACAGTGTTTACCTTCTTTGCTGCTAGTACGATACTGTAGGCGTACACACTCACACTCACAGATCAGCGCTTAGAGGTGTGTGCTCCGGTGTGTGTGTGTGAGCTTGAAGACAGCGGTGTGTATCCATTCCACCTACTGCTTTCAGTCCAGATGATTTGGTGCATTTCAAGCTTATTTCTGTTGTTTCTGTGCTGTTATTGCAACCTGCCCTCCCTCCCTTCCCCTCCCTGTCACTTGCACTCGGCTCATGTGTGTGTGTATGTGTGTGTGTCTGTGTGTGTTGTATTGTGTTCACTAGGCCCCCTCCCCAGTGAACCCCAGTGCGCTGGACCGCACAGCAGCCTGGCTTTTGAATATGAATGTGCAGTTTTTAGACCATGAGGGGATGGAGCCCGAGTCACTGAGAAACAGAGAGGATCTGACTCAGGTGGAGAAGGTAACCTACCTCCTCATCCGACCTTTGACCTTTTACCAACCCCTCCTTTCACAACCCACCTCAACCTTCCGCCCTGACGCTCCCACTCAACTCTCCTTCCTTCCTTTACCCCTCATTAGCTCCTGCATACACCTCCCTCCCTTTAAACAGCCCTTCCACACTTTAATTGTCTGCAGGATTTATCTCCACTCCTTTTCCTCTAAGCCTTCAGACGTACCCAAAGTGACACTTATAGTCATGATATGCACATTTATTACATCAAATGTAGGTAAATAGCTTATATTGTGCGTCAGGCAGGCTCTGCATGAGCACACATAATACCTCAATCTACCATTTTTGAGAAAATGCTCTTTCTTAGTGCTGTACATGCTGTTTTTCTGGGATGCTTTTTTCAATACCTGTGCTTTTCACACAGTCGGCAGTGAGCCTCATTGTGTCAAGTGCAGGAAAGTCATAGCAACAGCAATGACAATAGAAAGTCTATCACTTTTTCATTTACAAATCAAAGTATCAGTTACTTTGATTTGGGATTCAAATTCACTGGAATTGTACCATATTTTACTTACGTGACAAATAAGATCGATGTATTGATGGTCTGTAACAAGAAAATATTTGTTATTTTCAGCCCTAGACTCAAAAGATCAATCAGGTTTAGGTTATTTTATTTGTAGATTTGTATTTCATTTAAAAGACAAAGGATCCATTATAACAGACATAGGCAACAGACGGCAACTACTGTGAAAAGAGCACCCTGTGTTCCATCACTTTAAAAACCCACTTGTACAAACATGAAACAATCAAGTAAATAAATGGGCGGTGCTTCCAGAGCAGCCGTGTGACACCGCCACAACTTGATAATCCATAATTAAAATATTTGCAGCTGTTGACCAAGAAATAAACTAACCATTGTGTTTGCACGGCTAAAAATACCCTACTTATATTGTCAAAATCCACGAATAACTCCTAGAAATACTGTGTGCAGTGAGGGGATGCTGGATGTTGTAGTTTGAACCTTCTTCCTTCATTAAAAAAGGTCCCTCCGCCTGCCTTTGAATAACTCCCTCACAACTTTCCCCCGTCTCTCTTACCATCTTTGGAATGAACTACAAAGCCTGAAGTGTGTGTGTGTGTGTGTGTGTGTGTGTGGTGTGTGTGTGTGTGTGTGTGTGTGTGTGTGTGTGTGGTTGTGTGTGTGTGTGTGTGTGTGTGTGTGTGTGTGTGTGTGTGTGTGTGTGTGTGTGTGTGTGTGTGTGTGTGTGTGTGTGTGTGTGTGTTGTTCACAGCGCAGACATGTTGGAGCTTGCATGGATGTGAGGGATGGAGACAGAAAAAGCATTTTTTTGCTGTTCCTACCCTCAGCTTCGCTTCCATGCTGTGATTGGCTGCCACACGCTCCCCCACTTCTTCTTTTTCCATCTATAATGAATACAAGCCTGTCATCCTAACATAGCTCATACTTTATGGAAGGCAGCAGCCGCGGCAGGGAGAGCAACCAAAGAAGGAAATAACTTGAGTCTTAACAAAGAAGCCGCCGCCGCCACCTTAAAATAGCAGAGCCGCAATAAGAGGAGGGCTGCAGCTAACGGTCCACACACTCCTCACACACAGATCTACAGGAGCCATTTTCAGCCTTCACACACATTTACACGAGCTGCATCTGCTCAGAGATCTGTAACAAATTACAGCATGCATGTGTCTTGATAGGAGGAGTAGACTTCAAAAAGGAAATTCCAATACATCAAATCATATTCTCATTTCAACACAAGCTAGTTCAATAATAAGACAGTTCAAATACCAAAAGAAATGTCCCGGTTGAGTACCACTGAGTGTTTCATTGCATAACAAGTGAGGCACTAACATTTTAGATCTTTTGTGCAGTGGATTTTGATTTTGATTTCTGATTTAGCAGGAAGTCAAGGGTCGACTGTTTTTGACATAAAAACTACTACAGTGTGTTGTCCTATGGATTATGTTTACATCCGTTTATCCTTATTGCTTTTTTAACCGATGTGTTTTTTAGTCCTCTTTTGTTATATAGTCTTCAATCTGGCTTTTAATGTGTGATTGTTTTTGCATTATTTGACTTTAACTTTAACTATATATTTATTTGTTGTTCCTTTATTTTCTCTTCACTATATCTGTAAAGCGTCTTTGAGCACCTGTAAAAGCGCTAACAAATTAAATCTATTATTATTATTATTAGTCAGATGTACTTTTCTAATCTGTAGTTGGTCAAATGTCAAAGGCCTAAATCAAGATAAGAAACAATTAGAAGCACTCAAGTGAACAGTGCTTGTTTATAATAAACACATCAGTTCCAGCCGTAAAATAATAAGTTAGTAACAGCTTGTATTGCACACAGAGACCTGCAGCCCTTTGCTAAGGTACCGTTTGAAACACAGTACAGTTCATTCATTCTTCTTTAATAGTTTGATTTGCTCTGAGTTTATCCTACAGTGTATTCCAAATATAGAGGAGAGAGCCAAGGGCACGGTCAGTTCACTTGAAATGTTGTCAGCATTCTATTAGGTACTTTGATATATGTTGTATTGATAGCTAACTGTGCACTTGATTTCTGCACAATGCACCGTGGAGAGCGATTCATGGGTAGTCTTTGTCTCTTCCATGTGGGCGCTGAAAATGTTAAAAGGTTGTATTTTTGAAGTCTTGTTTTGACATTATCTACAGTAATTCTAAAACATGCACACGTGGTAGGGAAAGACATCGGGGTACAGAGTGGATGTTTGGTGAGTTTGTCAGCGGCAGGTACAGACGCAGTAGATCTCACAGCAGGAGATGTTAGAGATACAGAGAGGAGTGGACAAAAGGCCATGAGGTTCATCTATTTGACGTCACCGTTCCTCCTGGGAAGAGCGGGATGATGGGGGAAATGTCCCAGTAGTGGGCAAGAGATTGACGTGGAAAAAGAAGTCGAATGTGGCAGTTAGTCTGTGACCTGCTTAGTTCTTCTTCGTTAATGAGCTGCAGCATGTTAACATACAAAACACAGAGAAACAGCTCATTTGAAATGAGCCTTATTTCATTGGCAAGAAGGCCCCAATAAGATGTATCACTTTATTATCTGGGAAGAAGAGTGTATAACTGTAAATAATAGCATTATAAGACTGTTAGGCTTTATCATAAACTAATAGTTTATAGATGACTATGTCTTGAATGTATCTTTATAAGTTTGTTATAGTTGATTATAGCCTATAACATTACAAACACATTTGAGTTTAACTTACTAAGTAAATCATTTTAAAAGCTGTGTTGCTTCATTAAAAGCTGTTAACTCTGCATAATATTAAGTTGAGTTTTTTCTGCAGGTACCAGGTCTAGAACAAAACAGTGTCTTAATAGGATACCCTTTAAAATGCACTTTAACAATACACTTTCAAAGGACACTTTTTGAAAGATGTAAGGCATGACATGCAATAAAGTTAGCTAAATGCTAGTAAAGATTACATTAACACTAAATAATGTTGAAAAGCATCTTACGAGGACCTTATCATTAGACGCCCTGCAAAAAACATCACTTCACTATTTAGGCTCTATTCCTTTGGTCTAAAAATATGTTAGTATCAGGTATATCAGAGAAGACTTTTGACAGGGGCAGGGAGCTTTAATCATAACAATAATACATGATATTTCTACAACTCACAGACGCTTTACGGTATGAGGGAGGGGAGGCAAACAAGGACAGGCAAACAAATGAATATAGTCAATAATATAAACAGAAAAGGCAGTCAAGAGGAAGTTGATTGAGAGGGGGGGGGCTTATGGGTAGACAGAGTTGAAAAGATGTGTTTTGAGGCGGGACTGAAAGACTGTGAGGGACTCAGAGTCACGGAGATCTTGGGGCAGGGAATTCCAGAGCCTAGGAGCTGCCACTGAGAAGGCCATGGCCGTTTCTCGATGTCGAGTAAAGCTGCTCCAGAGCCACTATGTCAAGCATACTACGTCATCGAGTGGCGCCGAATCACTGTTTAAATGCCCAGCATACTTGTGCTACCAAGCAAGCCTCCTCGACATGGAGAAACGGCCTCTGTCCCCAAAGCTGCAGAGTGTGGATGTGGGAATGGATAGGAGTCCGGCTGCGGTGGATCTGAGGGACCGTGGGGGTTGATAAGGAGTGAGAGATAAGGGGGGGCCAGATGGTGGAGTGCTTTGTAGGTGAAGACCAGAATGTTGTAGTTGATGAGATGGGAGACAGGAGATAATGTAGAAGTATAGTCAATAGTCTAGTATTTTCTTCAAAACAACTGACATGATATTGATTTCATTAAGTAGAACAAACAGTGCTGCATACATATGACAGTATAACAATCTGTTCACCCCTTTTAGTCAGGCTAGCAGCGTGACTTCAAGCATGTGATTAGCAGTCAGCTGACCTGGATTGCCATGACATCAATTTATTCATAGAGGGTTAGTCCTAATGACAACCAATTAGTCAATATCATTATATGATGTTTTAACTGCTGGAGGGAAAGCCATGGCAAAAGAACAGTTGTTCATGTCCCTTTGAGGAAGACTTGAAATGAATTTGGCTAAAGTTCAATTATTCATCAGGTCAAAATGTTCATATGCTATACTTTGTTTACTGACCAATGTCCTCTGCCTCAGTTGCAATTTGTATTAATCATGTATATATTAAAACTGTTAAACATTAACATTTGTAAAGTGTCATTGTGGGCAAGTTGTTGTTAGCCTTTAGCTCTTAGCTCGCAGTGGCTGTAGGCTTTTGTAGGCTTCACTCTCCCTGATCACAGTGTCCCTCACTGCTGTAAGAAATGTGTTTTTCTATCCTGAAGAGATTCGATTTCTCCATTATTCCCCCCCCCCCTCCCCTTGCCTGGAGAAAGCTGCTCTGAGGTCCAGCGAGAGGTCAGAGAGAGATTGTCAGAGCTTATTTCACAGACTAGACTCCTACTTCACTGCCATGCCTCCCTTCTCCCTTCCTCCTCCTCTTTGTTCTCGTTTCATCCTAAACTCCCTCTCTTTTCTTTCACTCTATTTGAATGCCAGTTTGACTTCTCAATAAGGGTTATTTCAGAGGTCTCACTGATGTCTTTTCTGCCATAAAAGCATTGCTAACTGGATGAAAGTGAATGATTGGAAAGAAAAAAAGGATAATTGATTCCCCAAAACGTTTTTTAGGGCAGCTATTCAGGCAAAGTGTAAGAGTGCAATAATGAAAATGGCTTGTAAATGAACCGTGTGATTCCCTTCTCTGCCTAAATGACTCTCTCAGGGACAACAGGATCTCATCTCAGGCCCGATGAGAGATGTCTTTTGCTTCTTGTCAGCTATCTCAATGAATGCGTCCCAGCTGATAGGGATGATGATGATGATGATGATGGTGATGGTGGTGGTGATAAGCAGAACATGATGATGGTCCTCTCTCTGTTCAGTACCAGCAGGAGATCCTGGTGCTGCAGGAGAAGCTGCGGGCCTCGGTGCAGAAGCTGGAGGAGTACGAGGCCCGTCTGAAGGGCCAGGACGAGCAGGCCCAGAAGGTCCTGATGGAGTACCAGGCCCGGCTGGAGGAGTCCGAGGAGCGCCTGCGCAGACAGCAGGACGACAAGGACCTGCAGATGAAGGGCATCATCAGCAGGTAGGGAGGAGGAGGAGGAGGAGGAGGAGGAGGAGGAGGAGGAGGAGGAGGAGGAGGAGGAGGAGGAGGAGGTAATGGCAGGGGTCGTGTGTATTTCTTATTCTCCATCAAGAGAGCCAACGGTTTGAAGAGACTGCCTCGTAAAGCTTTATAAATGTCATATTTAGCTTTAGGGAAAACAAGCAGCAGCTGTGTCACCACGCTCGGTCTGTGCAAAATCCCCAAATCAAAAGGGAAATGTATTTTAAATATTTTAACAATTGCAATTATTTGTACTTGACTTTGATTTAGAGGAAACTGGTCAACAATATTCACAATATCATTGACACATTTTTGTTTAAGAGGTTTTTTAACAATCAAATATTTGTAGTTGTATATTTACTCTGTAGAATATTGTTGTGTAGGCAACGGCTGCCCTGCGGAACCACAGTTATTTATGCAGATATTTCTACATATTGTGCCAAATATTGGATATCCACTAGTTGTACAATCAATTAAAGGTGTGTGTGTGTGTGTGTGTGTGTGTGTGTGTGTGTGTGTGTGTGTGTGTGTGTGTGTGTGTGTGTGTGTGTGTGTGTGTGTGTGTGTGTGTGTGTGTGTGTGTGTGTGTGTGTGTGTGTGTGTGTGTGTGTGTGTGTGTGTGTGTGTGTGTGTGTGTCTGCAGGCTGATGTCGGTGGAAGAGGAGCTGAAGAAGGATCACTCAGACATGCAGGCCGTGGTGGACTCTAAACAGAAGATCATCGACGCACAGGTCAGCTCACTCTGCAGGTTCCATGTGGTTCTAGATCTATGTGGTTCTAGATCTATGTGGTACTAGATCTATGTGGTTCTAGATCTATGTGCTGCCACTTGTGTCCTCTGCTTGAGGAAACAAAGGGTCGCTCCAGAGATGTTTCATTCATAGCCGACTCAGAGCTACCGCTGTCAAGCTCGGGTGGCTCTGCTCCCTCTCTTTTGAAACCTACATTACTCATTTCTTATCTAGTTTTCTGTTAACATGAAGCCGTTCTATAATCCATGTGGTTCTTGTTCATATACAACTGTGTTTTCAAATCTGTCTAGGAAAGCCAAAAAGTGCAAACTGAAAAGTTGATTGTTGGGAATATAACGAGCTAAGAGTAATTGAAAAGGCTAAACAGTTGCGAGAAAGAAGTTAGCACAAAGTGTTCATTAATGCCTTTCAACACACCATCAGCACAAAGGTGCGTCTTTAGAGATTGATGTCAATGGGATTCAACAACAGCATGGGGGGGGGGGAACCACCATGCTGCAACATAACTTTCACCGACACGGAAAGGTGATTAATCTCCTTCACGCTGCGAGTAATGAGACTTTGCATGTGCAAACAAACACACGCCACAGGAAGGCAATAAGTTGTCTCCCTCTGTAAGCAGGCGCAGAGAATGGAAATGAGGAATCTCATTATGAAGACAGAGAGGGAGGTATGCCCGCTCTGAGCCATCTGCATGATCAACACAGAGAGCCTGGCGTAGGAAGCACACACACACTCATTTGTTAGGGGCACACAATGTCTGTATGTACGCAATATCAGGAGAGACTGACTTATGCTCAGATGTGACTTGTAAATGTGCTTTGATTTCAAATGACTTTGTCTGGATTAAAATGGAGTTCAAATGTATAACCTAAAAAGAAAACTCAAAGTGAATACTCTGCTGTAATCCAATCACTTTGCTTCGTTGGGATAACTTTTCACATATAAAACAAGCAATTTAGACACATATGTATATCCAAATTGTACAAGCAAGCCTTATAGAAAAGGAAGGTTTACTTAGGGGTTTGGATAAGAAGAAGAACACGTTGCAGTAGAAACCCCCCACCAGCAGGAATAAAGTCAAAGTAAGGTTGCATGTTTGCACTTAGGTCCCGTCTACCTAAAGTCAGGGGCATTTTGGAATGTTACTTCTGCAATGAGTGGGCTGGCTTCAGTATTCTTCACATGTTGATGTACAACATGGATATCTGTGGTTCAACGAGACAACATACTGTAGGTTTACTGTACATTACCTGACGCCGAACAAAGTCCACCGTCAGCTCCGTTCTCCTTGGTGGCCTTCAGAGAACACGTCTTCCATGCAGCACCTGCTTTTGTATATATAGATAGATTCCATCTGTTGCTCTAACTGTGTGTGTGTGTGTGTGTGTGTGTGTGTGTGTGTGTGTGTGTGTGTGTGTGTGTGTGTGTGTGTGTGTGTGTGTGTGTGTGTGTGTGTGTGTGTGTGTGTGTGTGTGTGTGTGTGTGTGTGTGTGTGTGTGTGTGTGTGTGTGTGTGTGTGTGTGTGTGTGTGTGTGTAGGAGAAGCGCATAGCCTCGCTGGATGCAGCTAACGCCCGTCTGATGTCCGCCCTCACGCAGCTGAAGGAGCGCTACAGCATGCAGACCCGCAACGGCATCTCCCCCACCAACCCCTCCAAACTGCAGATCACTGAGAACGGAGAGTTCCGGAACAGCAGCAACTGTTAGAGCCTTCCTCTGCCCTGTGGAGTGTGTACAGTTATTCAGAGAGAGGACGTCTGCATGCACGCATATGGCTGCATGTCGGTTTGAAAGACTGCAGGAGTGTATGTGTTTTTAGAGAGGATATTTCAGCTTTTTGGGCAGCATTGGAGAGGGCGCCAAGTAGCGGACAGATCCCTCGAGAAGACCACCAGACGGCCTTCGTTAGGAGGGGCGGGCCGAGGGGGCGGGGCAGAGTTTGTACATAGAAAACTCAAAGCTGTCCATCTGTCAAACACTTCTCCAGAGGATGGAAGGGACGTTAAAGACCCTGCCTACGCGTGGGACGAACCACTATTCAACCACTCACAGTGACGACCGCCTCTCACGGTCACCTTCGCAACCCTCCTTTCCTCCTCTCTTTCTGCTTTTCCCTCTTGAGAACCGAGTGGACCGTGAACACGCATTGAGGATGATCGCTGTCTGGAGAGGATTACCTTCCAGTTAAAGTCATTGTTTATAAAGAACCAAATAGGTGCGCAAAAAAAAATAGATATTTTTAGTCAACAAAAGTATCTTTATGTCCCTTTTTCTCTCTCCTTGGTGTGTTCCTGAGTGTCCCCCCCCCCCCCCCCCCATCCCCATGTAGTGCACTTTGTGAGAAGCTATTGGTACATGAACCGCCTTAAGTAAGGAACACACCTCGACTTTATCCCACAGCTCCCGATTTCTGCAAAAAAGGCACAACTTATACTGTGGATTTGTAAAGGGTACAGGAAAGGTGTACACACATACATGTATTATGAAGAGTAAAGTCAATCTATGTGATATGCTATATTGATGATATTTAATATAGATGTATGCATTTCTTTTCTTCTATAGAGTATACACACATGTCTATATTTGATAATCTCAAATATAAAAGCAGCCCTTTATTTAGGAGTGAGATCTAGTGTTCTTCTCTTGCAATGAAAGACTGTAGTGTGTCGCTGCAGAGCCCTGGAGGAGAGGGTCCCCCCCCCGAGCAGTGATCAGCACCATCGCCCCCCCCCCCCCCCCCCCCCCTCAAACCTGCATCATTGACCCTTTACATTCAGTGTGCAGTGCATGTGCTCGGTTTCTTCTTCTGGTGCTCATCGTTCTGTGTGAGTCACACGTTTGGTCTTCTCACTCTAGTAGCACCAGAGCTATGGAGAGACGTGTGAAGACCCTCACTCACTCACTCACAGGGTTTCCGTTAGAAACAGTTAGTGACGGCCCTAGAAGATGTCAATTTCCTGGACACTTGGGAGGACTTCTGATCAAATATGATTGGTGTTTATTGATCTTCACCTGCAGGCTACTTAAAGAACCACATCATCACGCCATTTAGACTTCTGATGCTTTCCATTTGGTGGAGGGGCTGCTGCAGCACGACATGTCCTCAACAATCACAGGTGGATATACGACACTAGGATCTGCAAACAGCCCAGTCTGTTTATATATTTGATGTGAGGTATGGCCCTTTTACAGAGAAATTGATCATTTGTTATAAACTACCACAGGAAATTATTTTATTCATTTTAACAGTACCATTTGGCTTACATAGCTGACCCTGTAGACCTGTACGTACCCATACAAGAGGAACTCAGTGAAAAAGAAGGACGGAAAAAATCCCAAACAAAACCAAAGCTCACCGGCTTCCCCCCCCAGCCAGTCAAATGATACAATCAGTGGCACATTCGCCCTTCAATGATGCCACACCTAATATATTGACCGGAGAGATTTAACGGAAACCCTGCCCTCTCACACTATACACTGGACTGGTGAGCCGTTCTCATAATGGCCTCCTTTGTTTCAACATTTGATCTCTAACTGCTTTATGTGTCAGTGGTGATGACGTGTGCTGCATCCAAACTGTGATTATTAACCCTAGTGACATCATTTTGCTTATTTTCTTCTTCCTCGCTTCCACCCTTCTTCATCCCTTGTTCTTCTAATGTGAAGATGCTAACTCACAGATGGTCTTAACATGGGGTTTGGTCCTTTTATCTCTCTTTGCATCTCTCCCATGCATCAGCATCTGTATTTTGTATATTTTTGTATTGATTTGTTCTTACCTGTATCAGACTGTAAACATCAAGTGTGAGGCTCCGCATGCTTCACCTTGCTCTCGAGACAATTTTTTTGTTGCCAATTCGAAGGTGATGACGACAATGATGAATGCTTTGCTGCAGACATATATACAGTAAATATATGATAACCGAGTGCATCGTGAGGCTGGACAGCCTGGGAACGTGTAAATAAAATGCACACACTATTTTTACCTAATGTTAACAGAGCTTTTTTGTAAATGTATCTTGTGCTCAAACTCTGCTGTATCTATTGATATTGTAAATACAACATAGCTCAGTCGGTCATCTGTCCTCATGGGGTAGAACTATACAATTTAAATTAACCTTCAGTGTTTAATCCCTGTTAGAGCTATTGTTTTTGTATTTAGAGTGTAATATCACTAGCCAAAAAACGGATTAAGGAGCAGTTAGACTCTTGGGAAGTAGTGGAACATGCCGCCCAATCCTGTTATTTCTCATCAGTCTAGCTCAATGCACTTGTATCCTCGGTGGTTGGTGTTTATTTGAGCTTTTTAGCTTTAAGTACCCATTTCAGTTGTTTAAAAAGTGGCATATTTCAAAACCTAAGAAAGGGATTTTTTCTATAGACCATTCACAAACCTTTCTATCAGACTGAAGAAGTCTCATCGCGCAAAAAAATTGTACCTCACATTCAGTCCTTAATCTTTTACTGCAGAGATTAAAGCAAGACTATGTTACTTTTGACAAACAAATAATACTTTATTACAAATCATTCAAGATACATTTGCGATAAAAGGCATATTCATTATTCAGTTCACTGGAATAATGGCTATTAATAGTACTGCTACCATGCTTAGCATTTTAGCTAAATGCTAAACTGTTAACTACTTTTTAGCATTTACCTTAGCTAAACACATGGAATTAGTGATGCTAATTCTCGCATCGTCTGTTATGACAAATCACTTTTGGTTTCCAACATTAGCAAATGTCAGGTCATGTTTGCTTTAAAAGGCAGTTATTCAATTCAGTTACTGTAAGAGCATTTTAGCTAAATGCCAAGCTATTGGTTTTTTAACTGTTTAGCATTTAGCTAAATCAGAGGATTAGCATAACAGTAGTTAAGCATTACGCAGAGGCTGTTGTTTATCAAATTTGACATAGTCTTACTTCAAATCTCAGTTTACAACTATACAAGTTAACTGATATACTTAGTACTGCTTTGTTTTTTTAATTTCACTTCTCATCAATCAGTTATTTTATCCCCTCCATGTTCTCACCCAGGTTTTAGTAGGATAACCACAAGCTCTGGTCACACATTTCATCCAGTCCGACAAAAGATCTATTAAAAATATAAAGCTATAAATAAAGTAAAAGATGTTGTATGTTTTCTATTATCTTGTAGAAAATACTTTTGTAAGTATGTTGAAAGTATAAAGTATTTGCTGGATTCTGCTTCCTTTGACGACAGTGACAAAACAATAATGTACAGAGGAATTTGTGTTGACAAAATGTGGCTGTGCAATTTATGTACATTTGCAACTAGACCTATTAAAGTTTTATTTAGCTATTTTAAAAATGTTGTTGCCTCTTGTCTGTCTCTCGTTATTCTCTTATCGTGATATGTAAATTAAGATTATTTTGAGTGTGGGAGCTGCATCTCATGCGCATTAAATACTCAAGCAGGCCTAGATAGATGACAAGTAGCTAGAGACCATATGCTCAGACGAGCGGTCCAGAGACAGAGTGAAGGGTACGATGTGACACTGCTCAGAGCCTGACCTACATAACGCCTCATTGGTATTCCCCACAGTGGAGCAGAAAGACTGGAAATAACGGGGAATTCTTTAGCAAAATGTCTCTTTCAGAATGAACTGTTGTTTTTTTTTTTTTAAATGCTCACACTTTGTTTCTAAATATAGCTCAAAGCCAGGCGACATGTACTTATCATGAAACAGTATGTTCGAATGGGGAGTGTGGAGCTCATTAACAGCGGATCATTCTCAGGTTTATTAGAAGGAAAGCTCCTATGAGGCTAATTGCTCCCTGAGAGTCACACCTGTTCCTTTGGCCAAGTGGAACCATCTCTCTGGGCATTAAGGTGTCAGGCTAATGGAACACGAGAACCACATTAATAAAGTAAACATGTCATGGTATAGTATGTCCAAAAATATGGAAAAAAAGCGTCATATTATAGTATTTATAGTTTTTCTAAAAGAAAAACATGTCAAATAAGGCATGATATAGAATGTTCTGTTTTTTAATCATCAAAGTTTAGTATGTCCAAAAATTAATGTGAACAAAAGTCATAGTATTTGGATAAAAAAGTTGTAGTATAGTTTGCCAAACATCATAGTGTACTATGTTGAAAAAAAATATCATAGTAATAAGAAAAATCTGGAGAAAAAAAGGTCATAGTATGTCGAATAAAACATGGGAAAAAAAGTAATAGATTAGACTGTCTTAAAAAAATATCATAGAAATATGAAAGTCATATAGTATTTGAAAAAAAAAACGTCATAGTATATTTTGTAGGAAAATTGGAAAAAAAGTCATAGTATAGGAAGTCGAAAAAAAAACAATAATTTGTAGTTCATAAAAAAACAAAAGAAAAAGTCACAGTATAGTATTTTGAAAAAAAACGTCTATTCTATGACATTTGTTTTAGACATACTATACTATGACCTTTTTTCATGTATTTCTTTGAACAATAAACTATTACGTTTTTTTTCCGACATACTATGACTTTTACTACGACATTTATCTGGACATACTATGTTTAAAAAAATGTTTCGACATACAATGACTATGACGTTTTTTTCATATTTTTCGTATGACGTTTTTTTGGACACCCATACTATGATGTTTTAAATATTTTTCGACATACCATACTAACACCTGTTTTCAACATACTATGCAAAAATGTTTCACCATATACTATGACCTTTTTTCATGTATTTTTTCATAACTGACGTTTATTTGGACATAATATGTTTAAAAGAAATGCAACTTCATCATATAGTTTGTCGGAAAATTTGAAAAAAGTCGTAGTGTGTCGAAAACACCTTTGTATTAAGGACAACATGAAAACAATTATATTATAGCATGTCTTCCAAATACGTCATAATATAGTATATCAAAAAATATGTAAGAAAGTCATGGTACAGTACAGTATGTCGAAAAAAAACATAGTTCATAAAAAACCTGAAAAAAAAGGTCATAGTTTAGTATTTGGAAGAAAGCATTGTAGTGTAGTATGTCGAACAAAAATGTAAAACAACATAGTATAGTATGTTTGAAAAAAACAGAAAACATGTCGAAAAATACGAAAGATACTTCCTAGTATAGTTAGTCAAAATATGTGAAAGAAAGTCATACTATATTGTTGATAAAAAAAAACTCAAAATATGTCAAATAATTAAAATCGTCACAGTATGTTGAAAAATACGAAATAAAGGTCATAGTATAGTTTGACGGAAAATATGAAAAGAAAGTCATAGTTTTTTTTTTTTAAACAACATAGTATGTCCAACAAATGTCATAGTATTGTGTGTCGAAAAATGTGAAAAAAGTCAGAGTATGTCGTAAAAAACATAATAGTTTAAAGTTCACAAAAAAACATGAAATAAAAGGTTATAGTAAGTCTGAAAAAAATGCTAAACTAAACGTTTTTTTAAACATCATTGCATGTCATATTTTCTATTAAAATGTCATAGTTTAGTGTGTGGAAAAAACATGAAAAAGTCATAGTATAGTATGTTGAAAGAAATGTTTTAAAACGTATGTCCAAATAAACGTCAGTTGTATGTCGAAATAAAAGCATCCATGATTAGCAACATAGCTGGTGAATAAAGAACACTAAAGAGATGTTTAGTTTTTTTATAATAAAAAGACAAAGTTAAACATAGTTCTTTCAAAATAAATATTCATATATATATATATATATGTACACACACCTTCAGTTCAAAGAGCAACATTACTTTTATTATTTTGCAGTGCTATGAATACATTTCATTCATATGATCAATCACTGTTAATAACCTCATATCTACTTCATAGAAACGAACATACTGCAGGGAATATGTTAGTCCTACGTATCTAGGAAACCTTCAACACATCTGATCGTCTGTTAAACAGGTTCCTGCTGCATCTGCTACAGTTTGATTGTTCTTCAGTGCAACACGTCACACTTCATTCAGTCTGCATGTAATCAAATAAGTGTAAAAGAAACAAACGTACAATTCAAATATGAATGTTCAGTGAGTCGCTGTGGTGTAAATAACTTAGAACAGCTATGATCCTATTGTCATGTTGTGAGGAGCCACTCATCACAGGATGAGGTTTTCTGATTGATTAATAAACATTGCATCTGGTTTAATTGTGACAATTCCTGCCATGCAATAATCAATAGCCCAAAAGCAACTGTGCCTTCAGAGAGAGCATCCTAACAGCGAGGTCTGAAGGCTGCCTGACTGGAATAGCTGCAGAAAAAGAGGATAAGTGGTGACATGGCCTTTTCCCTTTGAATACTTATTCACTTAACTCATCACTGACGGGCTCACGGAGCTGTGACGCACAGCTGAGCCACGGCTGTAAAGAAGCTTTCAGCATCGAGCCAAACACAAATAAATACAGTCCACACTCTGACACACACATTGTGCTCACAAATGCTCGGTCACCCTCTCATCCATCTCTGTGCAAATGTCAGAGAGTTGTTGTGCAAATTCAAGAATATAAGGACACTCCCTCACACCCAGTTATTGTGGGTGAAACCAAGGATGCACGATGTACGGGGGACGATCAATCATCGGCCAATCAGGGGAAAGGTTTTAGCTTTCTGAAGGAGAAGAAGATTTGCCAGATTACATCAAAGCATTTCATTTAAATTCTCAAGCAAAAGTTAAAAGTATGTTTTTTGATGTACTTTTGTCCTTCAAAAAACAAAAGTACATTTAAAGTGTCAAACTGTTAGTGGAGTTAATAATAGTGATGTTAGATTTGGTTTCATTTTAAATATGTTAAAATACATCTTAGCCTTTCTTCAGGTTTGCATATGAAGTTCTTTTAAAAATACAAAAATGTGAATATTGGCTTCGGCTGTACGAAGCATAGATGTGTAGCTCGTCTTCGTGGGCTGAAGAGAATTCAAAGCGTGCATCTCCATTGAGAGTAAAGCGTCTCGTGTGAGTCTCAGTGACAGGGGAAGGGAAGCAAATAGCTGCCCTGTAGAATCAGTACATTTAGTAAACGCAGCCCCTCCTGGCCGGACCACGTTGTTCATATATGATCTCAGCGGGGGGGGGGGGGGGGGAAGAAATGCAACAACCTTCTGGAAGTCCATGTTCTATTTCCTCTCCAACTCTCCCCCCTGCAGACCTCCCCCTCTGGAGAAAAAGCAATCAGGCTGAGAACGGTGCTCCCGCGCAAAGTGAGCCAGCAGGGGTCCTCCTCTCAGCTCCCATCATGCACTGCTTGTGAGAGCTGAGAGGAGGGGCTGCTAATGTTGCAGCTCCTGGGGAGAGGGCTACAGGCGTGGTTTGGGAGTGGGACCCCCTCAGTTCTCCAGGTTGGCCCTGAGAGAGCGAGGCTTGAGTCTCTGGTGCAGCCGGTAGTCCTGGCTGGCGGCCCGGCGCAGGGGTCCGGGGGAGGAGAGCTGGGGGTTAGGGAGGGTCTGAGTCCTGATGGAGCGAGGCAGGGCCCTGCTGCAGCTCACTGAGCGCCTCTCCTCTCCGCCCGGGGGGGGGGTCTCCAGCTGGGCCTCACACAGCTCCAGCAGCGAGGCTACCTGCTCCCTCAGAGGCTGGGACTTGAACCTGCGACCCGCCAGGTAGAAGAAGGCCTCCACAAAGGCTTGGAGTCCCATACCTGCAACACAGTGAGGTTTAGAGCAGTCATTCAGAGGAGAATCAGTTATGACAAAGCCAAGATGTCTTTTGTATGGACTGAACAAACTAAATGTCACGTGTTTATTTGTGCGCTTTAGAGGTGCGTGTAGGAGGAGTGTCTTTCCTATGGACAGAACGAAGCTAGCTTTTGTCCTCGTTTCTAGTGGTTCAGCTAAACTAAATGCAGCCCAGACCCTGGTTCTGCTGGAGGTTTCTGAGCTGTCATTCCATGTTACTGTCACCAAGTGTTCGCTCATAATTGCTGCGTGTCAGTAAATAATGTCTAGACTTGCTCATTATGAAAAGTTCCCTGAGAAAACTTCTTCTATCAAATGTCAAAACAGAGAGAATTTCCATGCAAGTCCAAGATGTTGGTTGTTGTAATACTCATTTTGGCCACAAGAGGCTACAGTGGATCACTACCCCTAGTTCGAATCAGGATGAAACCATTCAGGTTGACATTTCTTCATGCTGGATAATGTTATGTTACATAACTGTCCATTTCACCCGTCAATGAAATAATAGAGGACCAGGTTTCTGTAGATATGAACTGTGTGTTAACACAAAGGTAAGAATCACCCAAAAGAATACAAAACTATGTCAAATCAAATAACGTCATAGAAATATGCAAAATACCTTTTAACTTGTCATTAAACAATTGCCAAAGCTCTGATAATTATTGCGTACTTTAGCCTCTGTTATTGTCGATCAAGAAGAGGAAGACATTATTTGCAGACAAAAAAAGAAAATGAGAATAATGAATAAAGAGGCCAAATCACAGAGGAGCGACATGGTGAGAGTTTTGCTGTGAATCCAAACTGCTACAGATCCCAAGAAGCGAGCCTTTTCCTAAATGCCTTCACGTGTCCTTTCAGAACTTTGCTGCATATCCCCAACATAGAAAAACATCATATTGTGTTGCCTCTTATTGCTTCCCCAAATAACAGCGCCCGACACTCGAGTCCCTCTGAGTACGTATGAGCTCATTCTGAATTCAGCCCACCACCTCCTCCGTACAGACTCTTCCATCCTTGTCCATGTGATCTCCAGCCATCCGCTCCGCCTCGCAAACATTCCTCGCAAGGTGCAACGTCTGAATAATTCATGTCGGAGAGTCTCTTGGCTGTCACATTGTGATCTCAGCTCATTTACGCTAGCGCACGGTGTCAGAGGGAATCTGACAAAGAATGACAAGCAATTATCTCCAAGCACGTTATTTGCTCCGAGTCTCAAGGATATCGGGCTCTCTGTCCTTTACTGTACATGTTGTTCCTTTGTAGGGAAAGGTTGTTTTTGCACCTATGTTTAAGTGTCCGTGTGTGTGTGTGTGTGTGTGTGTGTGTGTGTGTGTGTGTGTGTGTGTCCGTTGTGTGTGTGTGTGTGTGTGTGTGTGTGTGTGTGTGTGTGTGTGTGTGTGTGTGTGTGTGTGTGTGTGTGTGTGTGTGTGTGTGTGTGTGTGTGTGTGTGTGTGTCACCTGCTTCTCTAGAGTCAGCCATTGTCCCTGACCAGCGGCGTGTGATGTCTATGTACAGGATGTCCACTGAGGCCATGGAGAAGTTACTGTTGCTCAGCTTGCAGGTCCTGAAGACATGGTGGAATCAAACATGTCAGAAATCCAACTGAGATGTTAGTAACTCATCCCCTTTGCAGTCAAACATATTGTCAACAGCTCAAGGACATGGAGGGACTTCAAACCAATCACAATCACATTATGATGGAATACTACGGAGCATCCTAGGGGACATGGAGAAGAAAAAAAGAAAACATTTGAACAAAAAAACAAACAAAGGTTTTGCGAGATCTCGCAATACTTTTCATTTAGTACTTCCTGGTCAGTTCGGCTGCTACGGCAACACAGAAACCACAACAATGGAGCGGTTCATCGATTTTACTTAAATATAAAGATATAACATCAGTGCTTGGCAATAGGCACGGGTTTCACACATAGACTGTATATATAAAGAGTTTCACATATGTGAAGACACCTCAAGAGAACACTCAGAGCGAGGGGACATGCACGTCCCTCTGAGCTGAGTTATTGACAGATTCGAATTTCGCGGATCAATAACTCATGAACATAACGTTGTAAAAATACAAACAACATGACTTTACAATCATAGCAAGGTAGACAACGAGCTACAGAGTCGTTTTTATCAGAACAGTTCGATACGCGCCGTCATCCGAGCTAAACATCAAGAATCTGCAGCTGGAGGAGGGAGAGGAGTGCTTAGGGACCGTCTACAAACTGCAACGGGGTTTTGCGAGATCTCGCAAAACATTTTTCTTTTTCAAATAATTTTTTTTTTCTCCTCCATGTCCCCTAGGGGGCTCCGTAGGAATACAGATGCAAACATCACACTACTATTTGGGGTTATGCAATACCTAAGGAATGCAAAATGATACACTTTAGGAATAAATATGATTATATGAATTATATTGATAGATATTTAACCAAGATATTATTGATCACAAGCAAGAATAACGAGAAATTGGTATGAAACTGAATCCCCTACGGAAATTATTTTAAAGAGATAACTGCTAAGAATAAAGTCATCTATCATCTTAGAGTGAGAGGACATGTTTTTTTTTGAAGAAATGTATCATTTATCACACGGATGTATGCAAAGACAAAAACTCAATGAATATTAAAGGTTCAAAAAGCAAGATGTTTTTAAACTGTAAAATATCCATAAAGAAAAATCAATCTGTTGACAGGTCTGTTTCATCTGGTGTTGAGAGACGTATCCGTAGAGCTCCTCATGTTGCTCTCAAAGGGCACCAGATTGATGCTTTTAACTTCAACATTTAAAACAAAATCTTCCCCAAAAAAAGTGTTTTGTATAACCCAGAACAAGGAATGGATCTATTTAACTGTTTTATGTAAATAATATATCATTACATATATATTACATTTGTAACTTTTTCTTGAAGAAGAACACAGGACAAATGATTTATACATAAAAAAATAATACCATTCAAGATCATCTTTATTTGAAATAACGGGCTGCACACTGAACACAATATGATTTGAAAAATGTCTAAATCATTGATCGTTGAGAAAAGGACACTAGCTCAGAGGACAGGGCATTCGTACTCACAGTATCTGACTGCTGGTATGCTGCCAATATGAATGATCTTGATTGACAATCAGGACGTCATGTAACCGCTATGACAGAAGCTAACGGGGACCCAATAGAATACATGGATGAGCTGTGTACCTGATGAAGGTCCTGAAGGCGGTGGGGCCCAGCCGCATGTTGCCTTTGACCCCCAGGAAGCGGATGAAGAGCGCGGCGATGCGCTCCACCAGCCGCAGGTAGTTGAACTGTTTGGTGTATTTGGGGTAGACCTGCTTCAGACACAGAGAGGGCAGGGCTCCTTCATCGGGGCTCCTGTCCTGTGGCTCCGCCTCCATGGGGATCTCCTCCCCGTGGTCCAGCCCACCCGCCCTCAGGTTGGAACTATGGAAACCAAATGGTAGGAGGGAAATGAAAAGAAAAACATATTATATTAAAAATGTATTGAAAAAAGAAAGCAGTTGAGCGAGCATGTGGATTAAGGACGACTAAAGTCCCTACTTTACTGCTTAGGCCCTGCAGGAGAGAAGCTGGAGAACAAAAAGCCACCCAGAGTTCCAGGTCACCTGAGGACGCACGTAAAGCACAGAGATTTCCTTTTGAGTATCCCTCATCTCTCACCTTCTCACTGCCTGTGCTCACATTCACAACATGGAATGCAACGGTAGATACATCTACACGCGATACATATTGCATGTAGAATTAAGATATGTTTTGAATGCTTATAAAGAGAAAGTTAATACTCCTCACAAAGTTTGGAGACTTAGTTTAGTAAAAAAGGAAGAGTACTTATGATGGGAGTAGCAGTCTGACTCATGAGAAACGTCACTCCCAGGAGAGCCTCTGGAGAAGCTACATTGGATCTCCACAGTGCTGTTATTCTATATATAAGACATAAGTCAACAAAAAGCCTGAGCATGAAAAACTAAAAGAGCAATATTGACCATTACATTGCACATGCTGATGGTGGACTCATTTAGCTTTCAGAGGTTCATTATTGACATCATGATAGATGCTAATGCTGGTGAGGCAGAATATAAAAGCACTTATGTCCGTTTGTATATTCAAAATCACTGTCACAAGAGATGGCTTTCCATGCAAATGAGGAAGTCAAATCTGGTCTTAAAATCTTGAAAGAAAAGTTTTGGAAATGTTTTATGAGACAGCAGATGCATTCACGATCCCTGGTGAAAAGGGAGCCCTGAGGAGTTTCTCTTGAAACAAAGTCCTGCTTGAAAGTCTCTCCTAAAAAAGACATTATGTGTAAAGACCTTCAAAACGTGTTGAATAAATGTTCATTAAAAACTTGATTGTTAAAAGTTAAATTATGATATGCTGTGGAGGTCAAGGGTATCAGGCTCAGAAAAAGTCCCGACACAAAATAAATGTGTGTTTTATATTTAGCTAAAAGGTCAAAAAAACACATTATTCAATAATAATAAAGTAAAAATATATGCTTAAGCATCTTATTTAGCCATTAACATCTTTGTTTTGCATTTGTTTTCATCTTAATTTTTTGTAAACTTAGTTCATAATCTCATTTTGAAAAACACTTCTGAACGCACCGTACTTCTTTACTTTATACATTCAATGTGCAGTTCTAGAATCATTTATAGTAATATAATACGTTGGTTGGTTTATGACAGACGGCTCTGTTCACAATCCTTATAGCTTTGATCTGTAATATAGCATTAGTCATGGTTTCGCATGCATTTCCCCAAACTTCCCCACAGTAGGTGCAGGGTGTCTGCAGGAATCCTGAAGTCAAATGTAAGACCTTATAAAACCTTTTTTAAGACCCTTTCCACACATTTTAAGACCTCATCGCCTCTTGGAGTTTGAACCGGTTACATTGGCGACACTTCACCTCACAGTTACTATACAGTATTGATTGTCCTTCCTTCTTATCCTCCAACCATTTGGACGCAGACTTGCATTTCCCCATAACGATGTTTAACAACCGGCATAAACGGACCTTCGCGCTATCAAGCAGTGAGCGTGCGATGTCCTGTTCAGATGACGTCCAATCCAACGGGATGCCATCAATAAACTACACAGAATCACACTACACACCTACGCCATGATTACATTCAGGCAGACTGTGGAATACAACCTACAAGCTACAAAATGTAACACCTTGGAAAATGCCGCTTAATACTTTTTAATAGCCTTCATCTTCAATTGATTTATCAACTTGTAATACTTGTTAAGACCCCGCGGACACCCTGGGGTAAAGTATGGAACGAAACATAAGTAATGAATTTATATTGAAAACGTCTAATTCACAATAAGCATGTGATGAGCATCAAGTCTGATTGGTCATAGTCCCACTCATTTCCACTTCTTTAAGGTCACAATGGATTCATCTGAACGATGCGCTCTGCACCGCCTGCCTGTGTCTCGCTGCCAGCTCTCCCATTGTGCTTCCACCCAGGGATTTGCCTCCTTCTCACAGAAAATGAAGATGAGTCAGAAGTTTCTGCACATCCTCACCCTCAGGAATGTGTGGGAGTGTAGACTCTGTGCTTAACAGACATCTCCCGCTCTCTCCTGTTGGCTTTGCAGAACTTGTAACTGTAGGCCAGTATCAAATAGGCCTCATCATTTGTTTAAGTTCATTGTGCAGTGAATTTGAATAAATGCCATCATATCATAGCAACCTGAGCAGAGGTCTCATTAGTGAGAGTCAGTGACAACACCTGTGTGGGTGTGCAGCGCCTTAAATAAACTCCAATGTTCAACACAAGTAACGAAGGAAAGGCAAAGGGGATTCAAACGTCAAGGGGATTCAGTGCTGCTGACTTTTAGGAGACAGTTTCTTTCTCCATGAATTAGTAAGCAGTGTGAATGGCACACAGAGAGCACTGCTGAATGTTTAATAGAATCAATCATCCCTCAGCAGCCAGAAGGACACCACCCACATGTATTAGACAGGACGGCTGGGCTAAAAACAGACACATTTTCACCAGAAGCTGACAGACAGGCAGAGACAGTGAGGGGAAGGTCCCAGCAGAGGGAGGGGAGAAAAGGATGGAGGCTAGGCCAGAAAGCAGAAGTTGGCAGGATATCAAAAAGACTCAGACGCCTGGTGCTAAATGCTAGCCGAGTGTGCGTGAGACGAGGCTAGGACTAATTTAGCTGTCATTACACTGCAATTATGGTTGTTCCGGCCTCCTGGGGAATGAATCATCAAAGCGGTTTCAGACTGTCGAAAGTCTTAAAAGGTAGAATTCAGGATGGATTGGCTGAGTCACACCGAAACACAAACGGCACAAATTAGCCTCCCACATGTGTGTAAATCAGGTGTGTGTGATTTAAAATATTAACTTTTTTCACTTGTCCCTACAGTATCACCACAACTACAAGAATCACAGAAATATAACGCATCAAGAAGTATAACATTAACAACCTACTACATCCATGAGTCCCAGGAAAGTGTTCAAATGTGACATCTCCCTAATCTGCAGCTCCCCTCGGCTTTTTTCAGCTTCAACACAGGCTCCAGATCATTACTGCAACTCTTTTGGTTCACCCCCCCCCCCCTCTCATGGACACATTCACAAATAATAGATCGCAGCCCCCTGATAAAATCACCATGCAATTATTTTTTTGTAAGTGCCATCTGCCCCATCTCAAGGTCTGATTCCTAAAAGATATTGAGCTAATTATAATGCAGCGCAAACACAACAATAACGTTTTTGCATCTGATTGCAATTATCCCTTTGCAATAAGGGCCAAATGTTGCCTTCATGCTCACAGTTGGCAGAACAATGGCAGAGAGAAATGAGAAAAGAAAGTCAAGCTAAAGGTCCTGGCTGACCTCAGGAAAGGTATTCCAATCTGATAGTGTGTAACCTATTTGGGCTTTAATGTCCCAGTCTGTGCGCGCTGCTTCCAAAGCACACCTCCAGACTCTAAAATAATACACTATCATTCTTTATAGAGCACTTAACCACAAAGTTATTTTCAACATGAGGGAATTCGAAAAACACAAGTAATGTCATGGACAAGTGCACATGTTAAATGATTAAATGTATATTATTAAAAGAAGATAGACATGATTTGAAGAAGAAGCATAAGTTAACACATGAGTTGGTGTTGTGTTATGCTAATGATGCTCTGTAATGGCAGTATGTGTTAATAAGCAACTATTTGTTAACACAGTTACAAGATGTCGACATGTAAATCATTTGTTCACATCTTGTTTCTGCTGCCCCCAAGTGGCCAAAACCTAGTAATGCAGCTTTTAGATGAAGGGGTTACGTGTATGTATTCAAATATTCCACTGTGAAATAAACTCACCTCAGTTAGCCTTATCTACCATATCATGTATAATTGTATAACCTATTATTTCTCTGTATGCAGATGATGCCTTAGTTATCGTGTCCCTTGCACACTATTTTAACAAATGTGTTCCTCCAAATATCTGTTGTTTGTTCCCACCCACACATCTCTCATAATGACTCATCAATCACCCTCAGACATCATACACAGGATGAATGAGCTTTGTGTCACTGATACCATCACAGAATACATCCCCATTAACCTCTACCCCCTTTTCTCCAAAATGACACTTTTTCCCCCTTTTGTTTGCCACTTTATTTATTTATCTGATTTATATAAGGTCTCACTCAGTCTTCTTTAGAAGAAAAACTGTTTTTCCTCAACTGTATCTCTGTATAGTGTGCCTGGTCAGTTCTCACCTCTCTTTCACTTCATCTTGACCAGTCAGATTCATACGTGGGTGACTTCAGTCTAAACTCTGCGTTCTGAGCGACTGAATCCCATAAATCCCGCTGCACACCAGCTGTCAGAGACCACAACACACGTTTACTTGTGGCTGCACCATCTGTGCTGTTAACACATTGCTTAACCTCCAGTTACGATGTTGAGAGATTATGACCTTCGTGGAGGTATGTGCAAACAGTGAAATGAGCCAGGTGATTTCGAAAATCATAGGCTAAGCGCCACATTTTCACAATACAACAACTATTATTCATATTAGTCACAAGAAAACAGGCTGAAACTGGGGCTGTGAGAAACTGAAATGTTGTGGCTGATACAAACATAGATATTTGATAGATGTGTTTTTAATAAATGTCTTGCAATATTTATAGGAACTGTGAGGTCAAAATCAATATAACAAATGTAAGTGGCATTGGATGAATGGATTAGGAGTCTGTATAAATACGTAGATTGGAATTAGTTGAAATGAACAGAATTCCAATCGTATGTTTGACATTGTGCTCGAGTGTAATTCATACACAAGATGTGATTCTGCTGATTCTAGCTGGATGAAAATATAGCAACCCAGGAGGCATGAGGATTAAACATATTATAGTCGCATTATATCGATGCGTTACTCATCATCATGAATGTAATAGCTAAGTGGGTATTATCCCCGAGAAGATATCCCCGTCGCTGGCAGAACAAAGCAGATCAAATATCTGATATGGAACATAATCTGCGGAGGAGGCAAGAAATGGAGAGAGGAAATAAATGGATATGGTGGTGGAATAGAAAACAGTAAATCCTCTTGTCATTGAAGAAAAACTGATTAAAGGGGGTACAAAAATAAAAAGGTGGAGGAGGGTTATTGCCAGGCAGCACTCAGGGCTGGTCCGACGCAGATTGAGCCATCACACTCGTACAGTTGTGTGTGACTCTCCACCTCGACTCGGCTGAATCACATGTTTCCATTTAACAGGCTTATGGAGAGAGCGGTGCAGAGCTCTGAGAAGGGAAGGGTAGCGTAAGGTAACACATCCTTAAAAATGGACTCTTTTAGAGGATGTTTTGAAGTGGGTTAAATGAGGTACTCTTGCATGGTCAGAGTATTACAGATGACGGTCAGAAGGCTTCAACTTGGAGAACCAAACAGGAGTACTGGCACTGACTGCATTGGTGCGTCCAAACATTTACATATAGGGAGGCGTGTGGCGCAGCGACCTAGTGCGTTGGTGTTCAGATCAGGGGAGCACAGGTTCAAACCCCGCTGCAGTCAGCATGTCGTTGTGTCCCTGAGACACTTCACCCCAAAGTGCTCCTGTGGGGATTGCCCACAGTATTGAGCATGTTAGTCGCTTTGGATAAAAGCGTCTAAGAAGTAACATGTAATAAATATACAATCTATGATACAAACTAACCCCATCAAGCACCAAAGGCACATACACAAACCAACCTATCAAGGCAGAGCTAGACCAGTAACTCCAGTGTCCTGAAAGGTATGATTATTGTTTTTCTCAAAGAAGACTGGTGGCTTTGAAGAGAGCAAGATATCAGCTAAGGTTTCCGGACAGAAATGGATTTCTTATGGCATGCTAAATGAGTGAAAATATTCCAAATATAGCATACATGTAAACACATATGGATGTGTTTAGGATTATAAAAATGTTTTGCTGCTTTCCCCACTGACTTTGGATAAGTGTAGAATGTGCACTGTGTTAGAATTGTGTTTAATGTATAAATAAACCTGTGTTGTATAGTTAAAGTGTGTTTTTGTGATATTTTATGAATTGTAGTAAAGTATTTTCATTGGTATCATTTTACAACCCCACTTCAGAGTGTGTGTGTGTGTGTGTGTGTGTGTGTGTGTGTGTGTGTGTGTGTGTGTGTGTGTGTGTGTGTGTGTGTTTACATTGAAGTTCTCTTGTGGCCGGGGTCCATAAGGCGCAGAGTGTCCCTGATCACCCCCACTTTGACCTCTTCGTCGACCGGACTGGGAACATATTCAAAAACTCCTGGCGCCATCTGAGACCAACACAAAGATGTATCACAGCAAAGGGAATACAACAATATCACAAAACTATGACAAATACTGAAGATGACCTTCACTCTTACCTCCTGCTCATGTTCTATTCTCATACTGGGGTTGGAGTTGACCTCTAATAGAACTGGCTTCAGGTTCTTCATCAGAAGGATGTCAAAACCCAAAATCTGAGAAACAAACACATCTCTTTTTATTCATATGTTACAGAAAGAAGATTGTATACTAGAGGTGAACAAAAGCCACTATCTTTATCTTTTTATCTTTTAATCAGATTGACGAAGAAAGTGGTCATGCCTACAATAGAAGTTGTTAGAAATATATGGGTGTGTGTGTATAGTTTCAAGCTGTATAACTGTTAATCGTCTGAATCCTAATGGGCAAAATTAAATGAGATTAGTGGAATTCCGATCTGATGATTATGAAAGAAGTTCTGAAACTATTCCGTTTTTAAACAAATGAATGCATATTTTGTATTAACTTGAGTATTTACATTTTTTTGTACAATGCTCTTCTACTCCACTCGATTTTGAAGCTTTTACTGCACATTTGTCTGACAGCTATATTTACTTTTCATGTTAGAGTTTTCTTCCCCTTCCTTTAAAAACCCTCTGGAAGGAGGTAGAAAATGAATCATCACAAAGCTTCCCCCACCTGAAAGCATGTGGGTCCCGGTTTGCCAGGAGGTATTTCAGCCTGATAGTAGACTCTAAGTTCAGGCACCACGGCGATGGTGGTCTTGATGACGAGGGCGATGATGTCGGACCACACCTTCTTGATGTCCACGCCTTTAGCTGCCAGCCTGTACAGCACGCTGGAGAGCGAGCGCTTGCTGCCTGTGCTCTGGCTGTTGGAGTGGACAAAGTTTCCACTGTGGACGTTCAGCGAGTAGTTTGTCAGGTGCATGAAGACATGGCTCAGATTCTTCTGGCTTGGTTCCTACAAAATCAGAATAAGAGTTGCATTAATTATATGTACAACTGCAGTGCTGTTCAAAAAGCTCCTTTTCAGAAAGAGCAGATTGCTCTTCCTCAGGTAATGCTGCTCGCAGCTTTTTCGAGAACGGCTCATCCAGACAACTTCACTTTAAAAAAGATTTGCAATGGAAAACACTCAATAGGTTGACCATGGGCCATTTCCATTATCATAATGATTGTGAATATTCTCACATGAGCAACTTGAAAAGCCTAGCTCACTATTATGGTAGACAAGTTAAACATAGATCCTGATTGAAAAGAAAACGGAAAATTATAATGTAAGAAAGAACAGACTCAGAGACGCAAGACAATAAGGCAAAAAGAGGCTTTAAAATAGATTGCCTGTTTTACATGTAGTTAAAGTATTTTATTTTGCCCAGTGAATATGTGCATTTTGAAAAATACATATGTTGTTCTGCATCTTACAATCAAAATAGGAACCATGTTAATTCCACTTCAGGAGAGACTTGATGTTCTCTACAATTAGGTGGAAAAAAACAATCAAAAATGAAATTGTGTGCATCCCTAGACCCCCAAAATATTTGTCTTTCCTGGGGCACCTTATCATTTATAATTACTGTATTTAAGATTGTTTATTTGTTGCTCTATTGGTTAAAAACTCAAATCGGTCAGAAAAACTCCTTCCATTTTAGTGACATGCCATAAAAGTGGAAGTACGCGTTTCATGTCATCGAAGCAAATGAACAGCTTCAGAGTGAACCTGTGGACCTCCACAGCTCCGTCATGGCTACCTGGTATGGCTCGGTGCAGAATCGTGTCAGGCCTTCCTTGGCAATGTAGATCTCCAGCGGCTCCAGGGACTTCAGCAGCACGTACAGGCGGATATCGAACTTGAGCTTGTCAATGAGCAGCGGCCTCTGGATGTACTCCTGGACCACAGCCTGTTTGGCCTGTGAACCCACCATGAGCTTCAGGTCACTGGGGTCCCGGATGAGGTAGATGCCGTCGCCCTGAGAGCCCCCATCGGGCTTCACAATGAAGGTGGGGTTCACCGAGGCATCGTTCTCCTTCACCATGCGGATCTAAAGCAGAGGTGCGGGTGGGTGAGGATACGTTTAACAAGAACCTCAAAGACAGTTTCTGGTAAGACGTGAATCACACATTTTCACAAGCCGTTGCAAAAAATCTAAAACAAAGGTCCCAGAGATTGAGTGAGAAAAGTGTTATGGTGGTTTATAAAATGTGTTATCAATCCATCATAGTCCTTAATATCTTACGCCAGATATTTTATTAAATCAAATCATTATTAGGCCTTGCACTGTAACTTTTGGAGCTGCATTTTATTCATTTATTATTACATTTCAGCTTCTTTGAATATTCGATTTTGTTTAACTCTTTAATGACCGATTTAAATTGTAATTAAAAGTCGTTATCATGTTTATGATCATTTATTTCAATGCTATTCATGTCTTGTGTAAAGCATTTTGAACTGCAACAGTGCTGAAATGTGCTGTAAATAAATGTGTCTTGAGTAAATGTTGACAGTGTGACATACAAAAAATGTTGAAGGAGGTTTGGGTCTTTTGTTCCTTCAGTCTTGTCTGCTGCAAACATTTGGAATGAAAACTGATATTCTGCTGCCCCCTGCTGGAAATATTATAATATTACTACCAGTTTGCAATGTGATATGTCGTTTTTTACTATCTGTGCATGCAATTTAAAGTTCCCCTATTATGAAATATTTAGGCATATATTATGGGTCTCAGATATATAAAAATATATAAAAAACATATCTATGAGGTGTATTGCTCAAAATACCGAACAGATCATGCATTTGAGACATCCCTCATATCCCTCTGTTTCAGCCCTGTTAGAGAACTACAGGTTCGGGGTCCTTAGCTTGAAAAAAAAGAAAAGAAAGGCGGAGCTAATGCCAGCTCAGAATTCTACGGGATACAGGGAAACACTGCCGTGATGAAATGCCATATCATGTTCCAAACCACATCAAGAATTATTTCTGAAACAGTATGGAGCTCAAATGCTTTTTATCTTGCCGGTTATACCGGTGAGTTCCTTTTTTTATTTCCTGCTTTTTTACACATACTCTCTCCAGTACAGGTTAGCTCTGAGTGTTAGTGATGGTTGCTAATGTAAACAAAGACCATATTTGTTCAAAACAGTCGGGCATTGTTTCCGATAGCAACGTTTCTGATAGGGCTGATCTGGATCCGCTCGTTGTACCCCCGTTTTTAGAGATTTGGGTACGGAGGAAAAGAGAGAGGGTTTTATTTTCTGACACTGCGTGAGTTCCCTACGGAGCCCTGGAGGGTTCATAGAGAGAAAAATAAATAAAACGAGGCCACGTTTTATTAATTAGTTCGCACAAGATACTTTTCCGTGCGCACGAGAAACTTACCGGTGCGCCAAGTAGGAAGTGGAGCGCACAGGAGATAACCGTTTCATTGCAGACTGTTATGTTTATGTGGGGAAATGGCAGTGCATACATTAGACTTCATTTTAGGGACATTTCGGCCAGAGGTGTAGAGCTATTTGTTTAAGCACCGGATTCGCAAAACAGGAGAGTCTGTGAACCAGTCTGCCTTGATCTTTGAATTCATGTCCGTGACTCTCACAGTATCTGCTATCTGCGCACACAGAGCTGTGTCTTTTACGCAGCGCCTTCACTGTGTTTACCTTCATTAGAACAGCTGAATAGAGATCGAGGTTGCTACGTTTTAGCCACACACACCGAACTGCCCGATTATTCCCCCTATTACTCGTTTTATGAAGGAGATGTCCGGTCACCAGGGCGCATGATGTGTAAATAACCCAATTTGTGTTCTGTGACACTAAAAAGGATATGACATTGTTTTGTTACAGTTGTATACGTCTTATATAGGTTAACTTCCTGTTTTATTTAGATGCTTTTATTTTGAAGGCGAGTTTACGCTGTTGACAGGAAGTTGTTGCTATGGAAATGTGAAATGCTACATGATGTGTGTGTGTTTGTGCTCTGCTCAGCTCTGTCTGTGTGTTCGGTGTATGTGCGACACCGGCATTTGTTTTCAAATTACAATGAACAGTAATTTACACACATCATATGTGTATTCTCAAGTGAAAGAAGTTTGTTTAATCTTAATCTCGATGTAGTGCTAAATGCTACACACACACAGGAATGCTGCCTCTGTTATTGTCTTTAAGTGCCAAACTCAGGCCAAGGCCTGCGCCTTATGGACCCCGGCCACAAGAGAACACACACACACACACACACACACACACACACACACACACACACACACACACACACACACACACACACACACACACACACACACACACACACACACACACACACACACACACACACACACACACACACACACACACACACACACACACACACACACACACACACACACACACACACACACACACACACACACACACACACACACACACACACACACACACACACACACACACACACACACACACACACACACACACACACACACACACACACACACACACACACACACACACACACACACCACACACACACACACACACACACACACACACACACACAGTAATAATCGGGCAGTTCGATGTGAGGCCGCAAATTACATCTCGTGCGCACAAATTAATAAAACTTGGCCTCGTTTTATTTGTGTTTCTCTCTATGAACCCTCCAGGGCTCCGTAGTTCCCTGACACACCGGGGACACATATTTATGTATAAAAGACATCAAAAAGTCAATTTTGCATGATAGGTCAACTCATCTCGTCGTATCATGTCCAGGATCATGATATGAAGTATACCTGTGTGGAGAACTGCTGGCACTCCTCAGGCAGGATCCAGGAGCGGGGATAGAAGTCATACTCCTCCGGGAACAACTCCTGCATGGTCCGCACTGCCCGACTCAGGTTGATCTTCCTCAGCATTTCAATCATTCCTGTGACAAAAAAAAAGAAGGTATATGATAAATGCAAGAGTTTGACATGTAACATATCAAAATTAGGGCTGTCAAGTTAACGCGTTAATAACGCAAAATTAACCCCACTAATTATTTTAACGTGCGATTAACGCATGTGTATTTGTCCTCGGCCCGCCCCGTAGTTTCAGAGCCCAAAGGCTTGACGTTGTTGTTGTTAGTTGGATGGTGGGAAATTCTAGCGAGAGATATAGATATGAAAAAGTTGTTTTAAACAACAAGCCAAGCACACAGCCGATGCTGACAGCCCCGCTCCTGCCGCTCGCTTGCGGCAGACCACGCTTGAAAGTTTGCCGGGGAGACACCAACAACAACAGCGATAGCTAAATGGGGGGCTACAGCTTAACATTCTGGAGGACGAGGGGCTGCGTGAGATCATTCGGATCGCATCCGACGTGTCGACTGCACATCACAGCGCATTATTTTGACCCAAGGTGGGAACTTCAGTCTCATGCTTTGACTGTTATGAAGACAGAGGAGCGGCCTTTCGCCGACAACTGTAAACAGGCTTGTCTGTTTGAGCAACTGGCTCAGTGCATGAAAAGGTTAGCATTGGCTCTATGAGGATCAGTCAGGGTTTAACTAAATCCCTGCTGTTGTGATCACTGAATACTGAGCACACATGAAGCACTGCGGCCTGAAATACATCCATCCCTTTGAGGTGCTCTACGTCTAGAGGAGGTTAGAGAACCTGTGAAATACCTGGGAACTTGTTCACCTGCCCAGAGACAATATTTTCATTGTCATGGAAGGAGACGCCATGCCAGTAGATATCACAGGGCGCTCGTCTCCCCAGAGGAAACTGCAGAGGGAGAGAAAACGGAAACATGGGGAATAAAGATGGTTACAAAAAATTATTTTGAGGATAAACATTTACTTCCCTCTCACATTTTTGTTTATTGACATTTTTTAGGACATAAAAAGGATCCGAAATTGAGTTTTACATTTCAATGCCTATATCAGGTTGGACATAGGTAAATATCACTGTTCATGGAGAGATAGTCAAATGTATATTAAAAAGTAAAGAATACAAGAGAATAATACTATTAAACATGTTAAAAGAGTGTGTTATTTAAAATATAATATAAAAGTAAAAAGGTGAAGGTTCATTGATTCATGTAAGTTAGAATATTATCTTGTATTTTTTTTTTTTAAATCACACTTTTTTCGCATCAGTAAATGATTGAGAATCGTAATCTTAATATGACAGGACATGAGGACATTAGCGGGTGTTTGTCCTCATGCAGAGTGCAGGGGTAATGGTGCCGTAAGATGGGAGGCAATGCGTGTTCTGTTGTGATGAGCTGGGAAACGAGAGGTATTCCCCCTGGCACACGCCACCACTTTTGTCTTTAACACACCTCTACTCCAGCACACATCCACACACTCCAAACCATTTACTATCCAACACATGTGCTGCTACCATGACATCATTATTAATATTACAGTCATACATCTTTATCTAAAGTCACTACTAGTTTGTGTCACTAAGAAATAGCGCCCAGTGTTTTTAAATGAGTTGTGGTCACATGCCATCTTGAGCCAGTAGAAAGCGTCATAGACTAAAAAAGCTCATGTAAAGTTAGCGAGGCTGTATTTTCCTGCATACAGTAGGAGGGTTAACAACGACCTCACATGTACAATCTGCTTGTAACACGCAGGGAGGCACAGCTGTGCTCCTCCTCTTGAATTGAATTATTTATTATTTCAACATAGGGGGATGTATAGGGAGCAGGGGGAGGAAACGTTTAGCATTAAACACTTCATTTCCTGCATTATGGTGCATTTGTATGCACTACTTTATGTTGGAAATGTTCCCATTTATGTAAAGAAAGACACAAAATGAAGGCGGCAGGTGACATTTCTGTAAATATAATACTATATTGTAGTAAGGGTGCCCGGCATCCTGTATTGTTCAGCCTGCTGGCCTCTGTTGTGACAAAGCGACCCCCATGTTATATGCAGCACATTTCCTCTGTCACACACTCTGACTTTGTGTCCAATTCCCATAGCACCATGATATAAAGTATGCCAGAGGGAGTCTCCAATAATCCAATGGAAAACTCCCATTGTTTTTATGTCAGGGGAACCAGGGCGATGCTAACTTGCGGGTTGGCCTACAAAAAACCATCAACCCTGCAGCACTGTTCAGGAAGCTTTCTCTCTTCTGATTGCATGCAACTAGAAAACTACCAACAGAACCAACATATCCAAAATATTTAAAGTTGCTTTGGATAAAAATATCCGGTAAATAAAAATGTAAAGTAATGTAATAATTAAGTGCACTGCTAACATCATATAAGTGCACTGCTAACACATAACCAAGAGTTGTAACCAGGACAGTAAAACGTTAAATCAATTTTTTTTAAATGAATGTCTTTTATACTATTTGTACAGTCTATGGGGAAGGTCTTCATCCTGAAAATCTTCTGAAACACATCTGAATCATTTATTTTAAAGATGTCCTCCCTGATTTCCACCTCCTCATTAATATATCAAAACATGACACAGCCCACATCTGAGCATCAAGACGTCATCGTTGAGCTGCGAATCATTTAGTCATGGAGGCCATCTTTAACTTCATTACCTCAGGGCTCTACATCAAGATGTATTAAGGTCAGGAGGAAATCCTGACCACTTCTTAAAGCGGCTCTCATAAGACCCGAGCCACTGCCCAGCTACGAGTCAGATCTGTGACAGAGCATCTCATTAATGAGTTAGCATCATAGTGTGTGAAACAGGGAAACCTGCTCCACAGCCAAGAGCTGCTATAAATACTGCCAGTCTGATCCCATCAGAGCAGCACGTCAATTAAATTGAGATGGTTTTCTAAATCCGAGAAAATAAAATAGCCATCTTTTTCACAAATGGAGACATAGAAACATGGTCACCCCGTGGTGTGGAATAAATCATGTGTGGGCTAAGTTTGTGTTTTTAAGCTACTTTATGAATGAAGACACTTTGATATCTGAAACCAAGCACAAGGACATTGGGCCTCGTTCATCAAATGTCCTTCCTCGTCAAATGCACTTTTTTCCAGTTTTCTGAATGTCTGTTTGGCATTCAATGTTGACTTTTTCAGGATCTGTTCTACTGCAAGTACCAAATCAACATTGAATAAGCATCCCAGGAATATTACTAATACTACTAAATGTTGCCTTTTTCTATGACTTTGATGCTCCACACTTTCAAATCGCTTGAACATTCTTTACTTATTTCTCGAAACTTTTCCTTTTCAATTTTCTGTATGCACGGCACTGCAGTCTCAAGTTTGCAATTTGCACAACGTTTACCAATGTTCCATGGTGCCTGCAGAGGGGCCAGTTCCTAGAGTCTACATTTCAGTGTGCGCTGTGTGTTAATGGTCGCTTTAATTAGAATCATTCGATATTTAAAGTTGTAGAACATGTTATATAAAAAGCATCTAAAATGTTCAGTTATACAAGTTATTATTTTCCAAAGACGCTCCAAGGCTGCCCAGGTGGCAGACCATTTTAAATGTCAGCTATGTCTGTAGAATCCTAATAAAGCAAGTTCATCCCTCGATGCACGGTTATTAGTCTCATCTCTTGAAGTTGTCATCTACACCCTCAGGCTTGCCAACCTCTCCGCCTAAAAGAGGACGAGAGGAGTTATTGGATTAGAGGTGCTTACAGCTAATCATTTCCCACTGTGTGAGAACAGGTCATAAGCTGAAAGTCCGTTGACAGCTGTCCTTCTCAGGCCAAAACAACTGCAGATGTAGAGAAGAACTTATTTGGATGTAAATGGTCATTGAATGGTAAAGCGTTGGTCTTTTTAGTAGGGTTCTATCAGGTAACCATAGTCAGTGTATACACCTCATCCAACACCACCTTAAAACATCCAAACTACCCTTTTAAGTTATTCATATTACAAATCGCTAACGTTTTTCAAGTGATGCATGTTCATCTCATAATTAACAAACAAGCTACTCGAGTTTCAAGGGACCCTTCAAAGATGTTGACAGGTACTTTCAAAATGTCAGAGGAACTATAGCACCCCTGACTTTGTCGGGGGTGCGCGGTGAGGACAAAGCGTGGTAATGTATAGGCCTTCGGTCTACTGTTTCCAATACCAGACCTGCAAGGGGTTAAGTGTCACTGCGTGGTCACCTGTGACAAGTAGAGACTTTACTTCGGCAATGTCATCGTGTTGCCCTTCTTTACTTCTCATGCATAATGGAGACCATGTTAATAATGATAGCTGGTATTAATTGCATCACATTCAGTAATAAATATCAAAAGAAAAGGATAATAGATTAGTTGACTAACTGTTAAGTAGTTGATGGACAGACAGAAGTATGTTTATATGCAAACATTTAATTTATAGCAGGAGATCTCCATTTTTAAGAGGCTGAAAGCTGCATTTCCTGCTATTTATGCATGAAAATTACTTATATCATAATGAATATCAATAGAGGATAACTTTTCTGTAAAATCGTTGCAGCTCTAACCAGTACCTTAGTGTTTCATAGGAATGAGACCTGCAAAGCACATATCAATAGCAAAATCATTAGAAATAAAGACACATAGCACACCTCTTTCCACTTCAGCTGCCTGATGCTCAACCTCAGGGCCTCCAGCGAGGTTTTGGCTTTGGACGTGTCCACAGTCACTGGCCTTCTCTTCCTTGCGAGCTTGAATCCGTCCTCACAGCGTGCTACTTGAATGTTTTTGGAAGGATGCATACTGACCCCATTATTCTCATTATTCTTGCCCTGCAGTATTTTTCCAGTCCCTTTGATGTGAAGTGTCCGCTCATGCCCTAGTTTATTCACGTTTCTCCCACCATGCAATGACACATCCAAGCTGTGTTTGCCACAAATGTTCTTGTCATCTTTCCCCATCTTGATTCGACTTTTCCCCCTATGTTTAAAAGTGTTGGACACGTCTCTCCCGGCTATGGTGATGCTGGGCGGGTCTGGGGAGACAGAGGCGGGGGGTGACGAAGACACGGCCACCTGCTCCTCCTCCTCAGCATCCACACCCTGCTTCTCTGCATCCTCTCCGAATGATTTCATTTGCTCGACGTGAATCTTGACTTTTACATAATGCTCACTCATAATGCGGTATGCTACGTGCACTGCTGAGCAGGGGACAGTTGTGCCCCACAGTGCAATAATAACCCGGCAAGCTAACGGTATTCTGGAAGGATGTTGAACGCATTGCTAGCTTAAGTGGCTCATTAAACACTATAAGCCATTTGATTATGTCAGAGTGGAGATATGCTCAGTCTTTTTAGGCTAGTTACCGGCTCACAGCTCATGCTAAGGGGAACAAATAACGCTAGACGTTTGCCAGATGGCCACAATAATACAACTTTAAAAGGCTAGCGAGTGTCACAAGCTGGCTTTGACTTGCCCTAACGTTAGCACTTGTAGCTAGCAGCTAATTGAAGATAGCTAAACCTGCCGTTAACCTGTCATTTAGCTAACATATGGGTCTGTACCGTTGGCGTAACTACCCGTTAACCCATGACAGACTTTACCTTACAGGTAGCGTTATGTATATTTCTGCGGCCACCAGCAGCGTTGTAGTGTTGCCCACAGTTAAGTCGTCCGCTCTCTGTGTATGTTATCGTCCCTGTGTTGTGAAGCAGACAGAGCAGAAGGCAGAGCCGCCCAGACTCCATCTGCTTTGAACACAGCTGATGCTGCCTTTTGAGCTCCTCGTAATCTCCGACTTCCAAAGACGTGTTGGCTCTATAACTTTTACTATAAATACATGTTAAGAAAAATAATTTAAACGTGTAATTGTTGCTTTAAGAGTACGATTTTAAACACTGACATATTGTGAAGCTGTACTATGTGTATCTTCAATTGGTTTCTGCTGAGATGTAGTATTTTTTTCCAACGTCACCTGAAGGCAATGGCCTACTGACTGTGTGTCCCCCAGATCAAAAACATCCTTAACCCTCTTCTCTTCACCCTACTGCGGGATATAATAGGTACAACTCTTTAAATAAATCAGTCATTTATTTAAATTGGGTTAACCCATTTTGGCCCTCAGTATTTTGTATTTATTCAACCCAATTTAAATAAATACAGTAATTTATTTAAATTGGGTTAATCTATGTCTCTGTGGACATTTATTAAATTGCTCTGGGTTTTATTATAAGCACACATATTACAATTATTTAGCAATACAAATATTAGATTTCAGGATCCCTCCAACAAGTCTCATATATATATATATATATATATATATATATATATATATATATATAGAACAAAATAGAATCACCCTGGTAACAGACATTCTGCATCATTTACAAATCACATGTCTACAAGATGGCTTCAGGAAAGCATGGACATAATAACCGATTAAAAGATAATAATTTCACACCTTATGGAGTTAAATGTCTGTTGGAGTGCATGACCAGGGCAACACTCCTTGCACAGCCAGATGACATCCCAGAGTTTCTGTCCACACATGTGGATGAAATGAGGCATCATGTCAGGGATGACAGATCAAGAGATAACAAGGAGGTGGCCTTTTGCTATGAAGAGCAGTGGGGTAAGTCAGAGTGGCATTTTGATGAAGGTACACTTAGGTATTGAACTCTGCTATTGGAATAGTCTGCCAGTGCCTTAAATTGTGTTTTTGATTATTGTAATGTCATGTCTTGGAGTATCTTCAAGTGCCTAGTTTTTTTTAATGACTTTTCCAGAGAATATCTTCTTGCAAGGGGAGTTCAAATGTGCCGATGAATCTCCTTCACCTGCATTCAGTGTGTCCAGTACATACTCTGAGTCCTTCCTGTCACGTTCCCCTGAGGTGAGATGGTGCAAAAAGGTTGTCTGCTACAATGAGTTTAAGCGATACTGGATGTTTTCATTCAATAGCAGCCATGTCATGTAAGTGACTAAATTCAACTCAAGTTCCTTGACTGTTTCTTTAGCTATTAAGGTTTGAAGAACAATAGTACATTAAGATAGGTACCAGGAGGCAAACGTTTTTTTCCCTTACCCATTTGGACAAGAGGGTCAATGACCTGCTGAAAGTATACTTTCAGCAGGTAGATCATTGAATGTATACATTTTCACTTGCCCCTACATTGTTTATTGTTTTTTTTCTAAGTTTAATTCGCAATGTAAAGCAGATTGTTTTTCCCCACATGAAGAGACAGGTGGTTATCAGACAGCCAAGTCCCAACACTGATGATGAAGCTGATGATGAATCCCCATTGTTTGTTGGTTGTCAGGATAGCATGGATCTAACGTCTGAAGAGAAACCACCGCTGTCACCTCTACTTTCGCCACCACCAGGAATAGGTGGGAAAAGTTTAGCCCTGAGCCTGTTTTTCAGGTCTCAGGCTCGAAAATGACATTCCCAGAACAAATTACCATATCTTCCCTTCTAAAAGGGTTAATTCATAATCTTTTTCCTCAAAGTAATGATAAACCTGTGAGTTGGATGTAGAAGAGTCAGAACAATATAGATGTTTTTTTTATTTTAAAGAAAATTCAGATTGAACATAGTAAAAAACTGTAAATTATAGTGTCCGTCCAAAAATGATGTTTTACTTATAGTGAAAACCAGTGGTGTAGTGGGCGTTGGACGCGGGGGTACGCCGTACCCCCACTTATTTGGAGCATAATCTTTTTTTTAAGTCTAATAAATATAAAATCATTGCCAGTGTTATCAGTTGCAAGTGTGTATTTGTTGTAATAATGACCAAAACATAATACATTTCACAGTAATTAAAATAAAAAATACAAACGATTTCCTTAAAAAAGTATGATTCATACTGACCCCGCGGTCACTGACCATAGTCACTGACACACCCACGGTGAGCCAGCTCGTCGCGCCCGCCGATTTTGCGGCAGCTCTTTCCCTCAAGAACACTAACGAAAAAGCTCTATAATGGCAGGCTAACATGTTTTACTTGACTTATTTTCTAAAAAGAATATAATTCACAAGAAGAAAGAGGCTAGCAGCACCGAAGCTACAAGTGAAGCTGCTAGTAATACATCATCAGAAGAGCCGCCTAAAGACGTGGATAATGCTAGCTAACGTGCACGTTAGCTGCGCTAGCAACGTTCCCCTAGCTAGCTCAAGCTCACCTTTCCCAGAGGTATGGACGGAGAGAGAGAGAGAGAGAGAGAGAGAGAGAGAGAGAGAGAGAGAGAGAGAGAGAGAGAGAGAGAGAGAGAGAGAGAGAGGCACAGAGAGTACACCTTTATCTATGTAATATAGCCTAGTTAAAACAGTTACTAAATCAGCCTACTATCACCTAAAGAATATATCTAGGATTAAAAGACTAATGTCACAGCAGGATTTGGAAAAACTTGTCCATGCTTTTATCTTCAGTAGACTCGACTTCTGCAATGGTGTCTTCACAGGTGTCACTAAAAAATCTATTAGGAAGCTGCAGCTGATTCAGAACGCTGCTGCTCGAGTCCTCACTAACACTAAGAAAGTGGATCACATCACTCCTGTTCTGAAGTCTTTACACTGGCTTCCTGTGTGTCAAAGAATAGATTTAAAAAATATTGCTACTGGTTTATAAAGCACTGAATGGTTACATTACATTACATTTAGCTGACACTTTTATCCAAAGCGACTTACAATAAGTACATTCGACCAGGAAGACACAACCTTGAAGAAAACAGAATCATATAAGTACATCAGGTTTCATAGAGCCAAACATTTCAAGTGCTACTCAACTGGCTTTAGATAAGCCAGTCCTTTATTAGTATATAAGTGCTTTGTTAATAAATCTATCGCACAAAGTGGAGTCGAAAGAGATGAGTTTTCAGTTTGCGCCGGAAGATGTGCAAGCTATCTGCTGTCCTGATGTCAATGGGGAGCTCATTCCACCATCTTGGAGCCAGGATAGCAAACCCACGTGTTTTTGCTGATGGGAACTTGGGTCCCCTTCGCAGCGAGGGTGCAGCGAGTCGTTTGGCTGATGCAGAGCGGAGTGCACGCGCTGGGGTGTACGGTTTAACCATGTCCTGGATGTACGAAGGGCCAGATCCATTCGCAGCATGGTACGCAAGTACCAGTGTCTTGAAGTGGATTCTAGCAGTTACCAGAAGCCAGTGAAGGGAGCGGAGGAGCGGAGTGGTGTGGGAAAATGTAGGAAGGTTGAAGACCAGACGAGCCGCTGCATTCTGGGTGAGCTGCAGAGGTCGGATGGCACATGCAGGTAGACCAGCCAGGAGGGAGTTGCAGTAGTCTAGGCGTGAGATGACGAGAGCCTGGACCAGAACCTGCGTCGCTTTCTGTGTCAGCTGGGCACGTATCTTCCTGATGTTGTAAAGCGTGTATCTGCAGCAACGGGTTGTAGCAGCGATGTTTGCAGTGAAGGACAGGTTGTTATCTAGGGTCACACCCAGATTCCTTGCAGTCTGAGTCGGGGAAACTTGGCCTACCATTTTATTGGAGCGGCGAGGAACAGGTGGGGCTTGAAAAGGCCCACCTGTTCAAAGTGGGGAATGCCAGACAAAGTTTGAGAACCACTGGATTAACCTATGGATTAACTTCAGCAGCGTTTTTATCATTTTAATGCCATTGAAGACCACGTTTGACCAGACTACGACACAGTGAGCCATATTAGCATTGTTAGCTACCTAGCGCCACATGTTTTGATGTCTGTTTTTGTTTATAAAGTCCTGATTTCGTATAATTGAGTGATAATGAGGGTACCCTTCGATTCTGTGTCACACAAACATTCATAGTTTATTAAATGAACATGCCCTCAGACACTGTTTCCTGCAAGATGTTGCGGCAGTGCCCCGGTACCGGAGTCTCTCTGGTTTAACAGGTTAAGACATTACAAGTACAATCATTCAAGATTCACCGTCAAAAGGACAAAAAAACGTCTCGACGATCTGCACGGCCAGTACTCTCTCCTATCAAACAGAAAGCTCCTCCACAAGTTACAAAACAAGAGCAGGGACACAAATCAACTAAAGGACGGAGTGAGTATACCTGCCGTCTCAATGATTGCCCTTACCACAACAAACCTAAAGAAGGGTCAGCAGCTGAAAAGGAATCAGGGACGGTCAACACCAGCACTGGGCCTACAGTAAAAACAGATCCAGGGCTGCATAAGTCCTCAGAAGGGTCTGCATTGTATGAGGTATGTGTCCCATACAGACCAAAGGGAGGGCTTATTGTAGATCCAGAACTAGTGCCAAAGAGAACCAGGCCAGGACACTTGACAAATACCTCATTCACACCAAAGGTGTTTCAGGGCCGGTTCGGAGCTGGAGCTTGAAAAGCACCGGGTTTTCCTCTTCACACCGCAGCGGAGCAGCCTCTTAGCTCCGGAATCCGGTTCATTTCGAGCACCAAAAAATTGTCCGGCCAGAGCAAAAGCACCGCCTACGTCATGCTTACGTCGAGGCGGGGGCAGGGGCAGATCAACTCCTGAACAACAACAAATAGCCGGCGTTTTATCCAGTTTGTACACAACGATGGAGAAACTTAACAAGCAGCTGTGGTCCACTGAAGAGACCAGCTACCTACTGGGAATCTGGTCTTCCGAAGAGGTACAGAGGAAGCTGGAGCACAATCGGCCATTGTTGTTGTTGTCGGTGTCAGCTGTGAGGGGTTTCCTTGTGGTTTGGCTTTATGAAGCAGGCACGCAAACGGTTACGTCATGACGCAAACGATGACGC